TGCTTCACAAGGGGCAGCCAAATACAGGGCTGAGTTCTCGCCCTGGGTGCTTCCACAGAAAAGTACCTTTTCCTCTGCACGCTGAGAGTTCCACAGAAAAGTACCTTTAAAAAAGACAGCAGTGCTTCCACTCTGATGGCGAAAAGCAGGCTGAGCTGTCTCCACCATGCCGAGTCCTCCTGTGGCATTCGGTGTCTGCAGATGCGCAAGTGAATCGGGGCAGCACGTTGTGTACTGTGTGCCATGAGGCTCAGGAGCATGTTGAATCGATTTAACTTGAGGACAAGAATCCTGGAGAGGCATGCCTAGTTTAAACGGCAATCTTCCAGGATGCTGCAACACCTGTGATTTGTCCTTAATGCAGTCTTACGAGTCAGTTCCTAGAAGTCACTAACCCACAAGGATTGTTTACTGATGCTGATGTAGGCGATTTGTGGCCCACAAACACAAGTGATGTCTTGAAAGGGTCTCCTGACAAGTTACGCAGAAGTGATTCCTGGCAACTAGGTAAATGGCTGCTGGCAAGCCTGATATAATTATTTAGCGAAGCAGCCAAATCTGGGCATGTTATCTTTAAGCCTGCATGTGGGCTGGAGCTCGGTCTGTATTGCAGGATTCAGTTTATACATAACCACAGAAAAAAACCTGCACGGATTAGTTCCCAGTTTAGCTCAACAGACCAAATTTCATTTACAGTCACATGTATACATCAAAGGGAACAGAAGCAGAGGGAGAGTCCACAAAGGAAGAGAGGGATGCACCTCCCCAAAGGCAGCACAGACGGGTAAGCCACGGATAGCGAGGCGGCGTGCAGTCTAGATGTCACTCCTGATTCCAAAACGAGCTGAGACCTTTAATGTAATTGCTAATGTGCTTTTGCAAAAAGAGAAGATGGCAAAGTGTATTACTTTTTCAGCACCTTCTTTAGGCAATGAAGAGCTTCCAAGCTCCTCCAGCACAATTACTGCTCAACTCAACTGTTAAGGTGCGTCCTGAATGGCCTGAAGGATGGCCGTGGCCTGGTCCAGAGCAGCCATTCCCAGGCTGTGCCCTGGGCCACATCAGCGTGCCCCAGAAGAACTGCGGCTGTGCTGCGCACTCCAGCCAGATCTTCTTGGGGACCCACAAAGGAGAGCTACATCTCCATCTCTGCGTGATTAACTTCTCCTGCCCCATTTAGAGTCGTAAAAGCTCAGGAGCAAAAGGGATGGTCCAAAAAGGCAGGTGGCCAGTTTCTGATCTCAGGAGTTGTTGGCTTCTGTGTGCAGTTCCTTATGCGGTGACCCACTGAACTATAGATGGAAGCTTCTCAGTAAACCACCTTTGAGACCGGGACTGCCTTGATCTATCCATGCTGGCCACTCGACCCTCCTGGGCAAGGAGGACTATAAAGGACTCATTTTCCAGCTGTGTTTGGCTCAACTAACTTGGCCTTCCTGAACTATTGTTTTGTCCTGCATCTTCGGCCCTCCCTTCTGGTTTGTCCCGCCGCTCTAGCTTCTTTCTTAATCTTGTGTCCTGACCTGCTTTTTGACCCTGAAACGGTTCATGTACTGACTGCTTCAGGCCATTGTGGGGGGGGGGGGGGGGCTCTGCAATGCAGCCGCAGTGACAGGGCTCTTCTGGGGATCAGATCGAGAGCAAGGACTGGGACAGGTTTCTCAGGGAGGCAAGACAGAAGAAATCAATCCTACAGAAAGCTCTGCGGGATGTTGGGGCTGAAAGACAAACTGGGGTGCCTGTGGGTGGTTCCAACATGGAGCAGAGCAAGACAGATTTAAATAAGAGTGTGGCTGAAATTAGGGCTGGTTGACCCCAGCATCCTGATACTAACTGATGTGTTGGCTCCTAAACAGGCACGGCTGGTTTTAGCAACACGGGGATCTTTCTGGAGAACTGGGCCCCAGGGAGGTAAAAGCTTCATTTACCCATCGCTGCCTTGTCTACCTGACATATTAGCTCAGGAGCCTTTTCTACTACTGGACTGGATATTGTATTTGGGGTTTTAATGTTTGTAAACCACGCAGAGAGCCCTCTGGGCTATTGGGGTGGTATATAAATGCAAGCCAGACAGACACACATACTAGAACAGGGGTGGCCAAACCAAAACTTGCAAGCTCTTTTGAGTTTATTTTGAGGCTTGCAGAAGGACCAAGAAAGCCCGACACAACTTTGAATCCGAGCAGCTGAACTGGGGTGTGAAAAACGGGGCCAAAAAAGCCCAAGGCACCTTCGCTTCTGAGCAGCCGAGCCAGTGTGAAAAGAAACAGAGGAGGAGGTGTGAGTCTCCTGCTGTGCTAAGGAACTGTGGTGCTTCAGTCTTGTGATTTCAAGCCTGAGCCTCACCAATCAAGGCTCAACCAGCAGCTGAGCCCAGGAGCACAGAAACCTTCCAGGGAAAGGCACGTGACTCTCCTACTCTGATAGCCAATCCCAGTCGCTTCAGTTGTCTCACTTCCACTCTGAGCCTCAAACAGCAGCCCCAGCAGCACATGCAAGAGCCTGACTCACAGCTAAGATGGAGACCTACAAGACCTTTGTTAGCAGTAATTAGCCTGATAATTGGAGCAATGTATGTTTGGGTCATAATAAATAAATATTTGTTCATGTCTTGCAGCTCTCAAACATCTGACATTTACTGGAAGTGGCCCTTTGGTTGAACAAGTCTGGCCACCCCATACACTCCACAGCAAAGGTCAGAATCTTCTGAGGATGAGGTTACAGGTCCTAGGCCACCACAGACCCTTATTGCTTCCTTATCTCACAGCTGCTGGTTCACCTCGGACTTCTGCCCATTGCTGCTTTCCCAACAGACAAGGAGCCAATGAGGAAGAGGCAGAAAATTTGGCTGGGGATGCGCTGGTATTCCAATTCTAGATAAGGATCAGAAGGATCAAAAGACTTGGTCAAAGATGGGCTTGGAGGCTGGAGGTGAAATGACAGTGGGGTCAGGACTGCCCAAAATGGCACCCCTAAAAATTAACTTGGCAAAGCGGCACTGCAGAAATGTGGTGTCTAGAAATAAATATATAATTCTTACTCATGCTGGCTTCGAAACCTCTAAGGGATGCAACTGCCAAATTATATCTGCTTTCATTTCACATGTCAAAACTCTTAATTTTTCAATCTGTGCATAAATCAGAAAGAAAATTCTAATCTGAGAGACAGATAGTGCTGTTGTCAAGACTATCTTTCAGAACTGTCTCAAGAAGGACAGCTGCATATGAACTAGCTAGGCTGCTGACTCTTCCTTTAGAAATGTTTTATTAATAGAAGTTTATGAAGAATAAGGATCTGTCAGAAAGAAGAACCATGCGTGAATTGCAAACCATGTGGAACTGTTGGCATTGCTAACCCAGTACTGTGAAGTGAGCAATAAGTGAAAGAATTCTATCTTTATTAATGATTTAGAAGAATCATGAATAGACTTATCAGAAGTGCAGATGACACGGAACAGTGCCGGCTTGCCACAAAATAGTCTGAAAGGCTGAATTTCAAATGACTGTGATAAATGAAAGAACCTGGCTGGGAAAATAAAAGGAAACCAAGACAAATGTGAAACATTAGATGGACAGTAGAAAAAGACACATACCAGTGAGCTACTTTCTGGTCTCATCACTAGAAGACTAACCAGGAAAGAGGACATGCTTTTATCCTGGACAGGCAAAGTTCTTGTTTTTGTTTGCTTGTTTTTAACAACCAGAATTTTAAATCAGAGATTTATTTTTAATATTTATATTTGACATGAATATGACTCCAGAATGACTCAGTGGCCTAAGACTGGACACAGATCCAGAGGTACTGCATGCCCCAAACTTAGATTTAGCTTTCACTGGGAAGGAGGATTGACTGGCCCATCAGGAATCTGAAGTCAGGAGCTCTGGCCAAGCAAGAGGGCAGCCCGAACCATCTAAAAAGTTGCTGTATTACATGTCCACAGTCACTCATTTCTGCAGAAGCCTCCACTTCAGAACCAGAAGGGACACTGAAAAATTGACAGAGGGAGACTCTAGAGTTTAGCTTCATGCTTTTTCCCAGCTGATGACCAGTAACTGTTTAGGAGCTGCCCCTAGTTGTCTAGACGAAACTTCACTTTGGTCAGTTTTCTCACTGAAGTGTTAACCCTGTACCATCGCAAGTATATAATTTTCAGACTGCAGGTGCATGTTTACATGGATTCAGTGATCCACCACACACGGAAGTTTAACATGCAAAAATTGCAAGGCAGGTAAGATGAGGTTAGAATGCTTCTTCCTGACTTAGCAAAGTTCTGTGTGCAGGGAACTATTTGTATAGAGGGGCACTATGCTGATGTGGCACCTCCGAGGAGGCGGCGGCGGCCACCATTTTGACGGTCCAGTGCTTGCCACAATTCACCCTTTGAGCAGCCTGCCAGCCGCTCCTGCTCATTAGCGCCCAGTTCTCTGCTCCTGCCACAATAACACGCGGTACAAAATGCAGCAGATAGCTAAGAGCAGCAGTGCTAATGCAAATCTTGCACTTGGTCTTGCTGCCTTAAATAGCGGGGTTTGTTAAGGCATCCTGTGCAAAATGTGGAGGAGAAGAAAATATACCCGAAAAAGAGAAAACCCTGGAAGGAGGGTTAATATAGAATGACTTTTACTAGAAATGTACATCTTTGTTTCTCCTTTTTCTACTTAGAATCTCCACAAATATTTTATTTTGGAGTGTGGGAGTGTTTCCCTCTTGTAAGCAGCTCCAAGCCTTCAGGATGGAAGTGAGTGGGTTAAAATACAAGGAGACAGGGCTAGCTATCTGTTTCCAGTCCAGGCCCTATTCTAGGTTTCTAATGAATGTTAGGTCCTCACTGGCTGCATCAATGAAGCTGTGGATCACATTCCCCAGCCACATCCACCAGCCCGCTTTGGTGTTTACATTTGGCAACATTTATCCATCTCAAGGGGATTAAAAAAATGATATTTGCTGCTGCTGCTTTCTCCTGGCTGTCATATTATCTTATGGCTTTATGGCATGTTCTTTAAAACGTTGCAAGCTATGTTTGGGAAACAAATTTTTGGTCAAAACATGGGATGAAGATAAATTATTAAGTAAAGAAATTGCAGCTTAAACTTCTCACTGCTGTGTTCACAGAGTCTGCCATGATCCACATCAGGAAGCATCTGCCAGACCGCCACAAGCAGGCCTGAAGCATCAGGTTCGAATTAATACATCCAGAAGACCATCAAGATCAGGAGGAAGTCAGCTGCAGAAAGCATGAGATCCTGGAGAAAGGTCTGTTTCTTGGCTATTCTGTACTGCTCACCTCATGAAACGAGGTGGGGATGGTTCTGCCAGGGACTCCTCCTCAGTGATGGAAGACTGGGGCTCTAGTTTCTCCAGCTGCTCCTGGAGTCCCCATTTCTTGAGCTTCTCCTTGATCTGCTTTTCCTGTTTGATTTCTTCTATCCTACAAAACACAAGACAGGGAAACCTTTCTGTTGTTACTTTAAATTTCAATGGTGTGGCTAAACTGCCATTTGGAGGTCAGCACATAAGCCATCAGGTTCCTATCAGGGTTGAGTGAGTATCTTTCCCAAAGAAACCTCTAAATTTAAAAACATCCCAACCTGTGTAAAATTATGTACTTCATAACTCTTCAGCTCAGTAGCCTGGTTCACATGTAAAACTAAGCTAGCACTATATGGATGAATCTCTGTGAAGCCATTCCCTTCTCCCCACAGAAGGATGACTCTCACTAATTTTCAGTTGGCTTTTCCTGATCTCTGACTATCCTTGCATACCAAGCAAGAATCATAGATTAAACTATTGCTAAACAATCCAATTATAAACCCTAGTTTGTTTAGCTATCTTGTTTAACAAACTAGGGATTGCTTTAAACGGTGATTGTAACTTAGACAGACTCCCCCCCATACTTTTTTTAATTGATGAAACTCAAAACATACATCAGTGCTTCATAAAAGGAATACTTTGAATAACATTTTTTCATCACACCTAAGCAAAACAAATATAACTATCACAAGAGGATGGTTTGAGAGCATGTACTTTTATGGCGAAGTAATTATCTTTTATGAATCACCTTGATAAAGAGATTCTCCCGGATTGTGCTGGGAACCTAGTAATTTCCGCAGCTATCTTTTCCATTTGTTCGCTTTTTATCCTTTTCCGTCTGTACCTGTCACTCCCCCACATCCAACAGCAACCATTCTTTGCTAATTCCTTCAGCCTATCTTAATTTCCCTTGGTTCCCTTAACTTCCTCAAACCCCACGTCATCTTAAATAGTGCAAAATGCCACTGTCTTTTGGGATCTACAGTGCATTTCTATTATAATCAGAACAAATACTCTTGGCTGCTGTTGGGAGTCCACGTGGTACAGCGCTTGCAGTGGCCATGCTAGCTGGGAGGGACACGTGTTGTGGCCTGGAGGGCATCGGGCTGAGGAAGGCTTGGACTGAAGAGGCATCGATCCAAACCCCTACGTGGCTGTGAGGGTCCCTGGGGGAATCTCAGGCCAATTAGCCTAACAGCCCATGCAGCTCTGAGGTTTAAAAGTGGGGAGTCACACACATCATCCTGACCGCTAGGAGGAAAAGTGCAAAACATGCCACAAAAATTAGGTGCAATAACACAATAAACAGTGTCTCAAACTTTTTCATGCAGTAGCTTGGCTGTTCTACCTCTTTGTCTGCAGAAGAGGGATCTTGAGGCAACTCTGAATGTGCCCCTTTCTCAGTTTCTTCCTTGAATTCTCTTGAAGGTGTAACTGCTCTGGTAACATGATTAAGAAGGGAAAAACTCTTCCTACTGGACTCCAAATGTGCTGGTTTCAGTTTTAGGTGCCGTCTGCTCACGTCTGGCAGATCAGTTTCTCCTGGGGTCTTTCCTTTCTCTTGAGCAACAGCCAGAGACTGGGACATTCTTCTGCGAAAGTTGCGGAGCTGCTGCAGCAGAAAGCTTTTCCCGGTGCAGTTCTTGCTAATGAGGGAGGGAGGGAGGGAGGGAGGGAGGGAGGAAACACTGTGAAGTCAAGCCCCACAGCAGAGGCTGTATCCAAGCCCCAACCCTGGGTAAGTCTGATCGGCAGAGAAATACAAAATGGCAGGGATTATCGCAGAATGAACAAGGGGGACCTGCAACCAAATTCCGAGGTAAATGTTCACCTCTGTTCAGGGTTCCAGCCACCCATCTGTTCTCACTAGGCTGGGCTGGGTGTGCCATCCTGAGTCCATTGCAGGTTGGCTATCACCCCCAGAGCGTGCTATTCGAGGAAACAATACCACCGGTGTGGAACTGTTACGATGGAAGAGGTGTTCCTGGGCTAGGTCATGGCTGGTACTTGCTGCACTTGGCAGCAGCACCCTCCTGTACGTTGCCCAGCCAAGCTTTCAAATCTCTGTAGTCACACAACTATGCCAGTTCGCAGTTGTGAAACTGCATCTAAACATTTTTTTTAAAATATGTGCACTTTTCTTTTTGCACCTGCCATGCACAGCTAGTTCTGCCAAGCTGCCACCTGGGCACTTTGAGGCGGCTGTCAGTGGCTGTCAAAATGGGGGTGATGAAGGGACAGGGAAGATGGAGGAGTCAGGCCGCCCCTAAACTCTCGGCTTCCTCATTTGGCCAATGGGCAAACAAGCCACCCAGTGAACTGCCAGCACCCGTTGTACATGGGAACTCTTGGACCCTTCTGGGCATTCTTGGGACCCAGGCCAACTCTGACATCCTCTGCCTCTGCCCTAGGCCAAACTCTGAGCAGCAGTGAGATCAAAGCAGAAGGGTGTGAACTCAGCACAGGGGTCCGATCTGGAAACAAAGCCCCCTCAGCTTGAAGCAGTGGCCTTTCTTTACAACAAGAGAGGGGGAACAAGCAGCTAGAAATTCAGAAACGCCTTTTTAGGTGAGCCAGACTACCACTTCTTGGACAATGCGGAAACCATGCTGCAGGCTCCAATCGCCCCATCTAGCCCTTCTCTACAGTACCCCCAGTTTTTCTGCCAGGATAGGGTGCTGGCCAAGACTCCAGGCTCCCAGATGAAGGCTGGCAATTGGGAGGCTTTCCTGGCGAAGACCACATGAAGGACCTCCAGCAGTAGTAGCCCCCCCCCCCAGCTTCATATTTATATTTATTTATCGATGTATGTCCTGACGTTTTCCTACAAAGGGCTCGAGGCAGCTTACATCATTCTCTTCCTCCATCTTATCCCCACAGCAACAACCCTGTGAGGTAGGCTGGGCTGAGTGTCTGTGACTGGCCCAAAGTCACCCAGTTGGCTCCATGGCTGAGCAGGGACTAGAACCCAGGTCACCTGAGTCCCAGTCCCACTCTTAACCACCACACCGCACTGGCTCTCCCCGCGCAAGTCTTGACCAGCATGAGGCGAGCCCCCGAAGCAAATAACTGTCGGGCAGGGGCTTTCCTCGGCCTCCAGGAGGGAGTAGAAAACACTCGCTGCCCCCAGTCGAAACCAGTCAAGCCCAGCCTTGCTACCAAGGAAACGGCAAGGAGGCAGGTGGTGATGATGGCTGCACGTCAGGCCCCCTCAGAACACAAAGAGCCTTGTTGGCGGCAAACGCCTCAAGCAGAAATGAATTTCTTGACAGGGTTTGCGAAGCCTGGCTGTCAAGCCCACTTCCAGAATCTTCTCTGGAAACTGCCAAGTAATCGTGGGAGTCCAAATGGGGTCACAGTCACAACAGGGAGTGGGGAGACAACTCGGTGCTCTTGCAGCGTCCCCTGAGATACCACCTGAAGGAGGGAGGGGAAGGACGGGGAGAGGGAATGAACAACCCTGGTGAACCCAAGCAGCTGCTGTGTTTTCTGCTGGCCTTTTGGCAGGCTTCCTCTGTTGACTTTGCTCCCCCGACACTAATTTTCAGTGCTACCGTTTGCACTAGCAGGTCCCTCTTTTCCTTTACATTTAGTTGCAACTGTGTGTGAATTCTAGATTCATCTTGTCACAGTTGCCCTGTATGTTAAGCAGCTGCTGCTTTAACAACCAAGACATGCAAGGAAATTGCACTGGCAAGACTACGCTTCACGAGACAGCCATAAGACTTGTAAAAGACCAACAACAACTGCAAACCCATTTCTGGCTTTCTGAGTGTCTGGAAAGAAATTTAAAAGCTGAGGAACAAGGAAGAGTAGCAATCAGAGTGATTCCAATAGTGCGTTCCTGAGGTATGGAAAAGGAGAAAGAAAGCCAGGAAACAACAATCGCATAGTGACAGGAGCAAGGAGCAGGAGACGAGAGAGATTTTGCCATGGAATCCCCTGGGATACACATCAGAGGCAGCTGAAGGACTGAAAAGGAAGGACGGGGAGAACAGGCCACAGAAGCCTGATCATTTGCTAGGAGTCCCATGGGTTGTTCAACAAACTCACATCACATTGCTTATTCAGAGGGTGGCTTAGCAATATGTGCAAACTCGCCCAGAGGATTCAAACAGAAAAAACCCATGTTTGGAATAAACTTTGCCTCAGAGATGCTCACGAGGAACCAGGATTGTCTGCTGTCATGTGTATATCTGGTTACACAACCAGTGGAAAGGCCCTTGGTTTTCAGTCTTTTAGACTGAATGAAAGGACCAGTTTAGTGGAACTTGTAAGACTATGTGTCTCTGGGTTTTTCTTGTGATTGCAAAAGGCATCTTTCTCTAGGATGACATCCAATCCTTGCCACGTTAACATTTGACAAAAATTTGGAACATAATTATTCTTTACTATGATGGTTGGGGGAATTCTTTCATTCTTTCTTCCACTGTCTCTTGGCCTGTCACTTCTGTATCTTCCTCCTCATCTGTGGAGCTGTCACTTGAGCTGCAAAATGAACAAGAAATCTCATTACTCTGCATTTCCTGACTTCCTCGACTCTTTATCATAACACCTCCAGAGCAGATGAGAGACCTCATTGTCATTTTTAGTTCACAGCAGATTGAATGGGACCTGGGAGTTAAAGGAGCTGTCTGGAACATAAACACATGATATTTGGGGAAATTCATCACTTGATGATACCGTTGAGATGTTTTGCATATAAAAGTGTCCAGGTCCAGTCCTTGAAACCTTCAGATAAGCCTAGAACAGACTAAGTCCTTGGAGAGGTACTATGAGGAGTACAGACTCCATTTCAAAGACAGGCATTTCAAGAATGGGGTAAAAATTGCACAAAAATTGGGGTACTACCAAACAGTCCACTGTTGTGGGAAAGGGGGTAGGGCACAGGGAGGGAAATGGTCTTCTGTGAAACCCTAGAAGGCCAGATTTGAGCCACGGGCCTCAGTTTTACATTCTGAGACAGTACTGAGTCAGACAGGCAAATGCTCTGCTTTGGTGTAAGTCAGTCTCATATGTTCCTAGGATACAAACAGAAATAGATGACAGCACTTCCTCCATGAATATTATTTGCATGGAATGCCATGTGAAATCACAGTTCCTAGTTCTTGTGTGACAACAAGTAAGGAATCCACAAACGTGAGCCTGAATACAAGTTTATACTGCCCCCTTGGCTGTGCAGCGGATGAATTTGCAGGGTGGAGGGGTGAGGTTTCGCTCAGGCTCATGCACATAATGCCAAAGCATGGTTTATGCGCTACGCAAACTGCCCCATAATGTAGTGAACAGCAAGTTCCTTTGGCACAGCCAAGGTGGCAATAGGAATGTCTGGTGCCTTTACTTCCGCAAGTGTTTAAATGAGTGTTTATACAATTAGACCTGACCTGCAATATTTTTATCCCAAGGGTATTAGAAGCAAGTTCATAAATGACTACCTGATCTTTATTTCTTATAATAATGTCTTTTTATAGCCATCAGTGTAATTAATGCTTCCAGATGGAGGGCTTCTAAAGGAATAGAACAGCGAGTCGGTCTTCTTTTCCTTAACTGATTTTATGTGGAGGAAAAAAAGATGGAAGGCAGAGGGCAGAAAATACAGTGGGAGCACACAAATGGAAGACAATGTCTTGTCTTAGTGGGCTCCGTGCCTGAATCTTTGTCCCTGTTAGTCTATTTTGGAGGTTGAACCTTTGACCTGGATGATTCTGCCCTGAAGTCCTGCCATCAATCCAACTGTAAAACATTGTTATGCACAACAGAATCCCTGAGGTTCAGAGAAGGTTTGGGCAATTTACCCATCCCACCCAGGTTTCTGAAAGGTATTTTCTAGGGCTCTTGCCAGGTTAAGTTGTTGTTGATTAAGGAGATCAAATCAGCCCCTCTGAAAAACTGAATTGCAAAATACCTTGCTCACGCTACCAGTGAACTCTAGAAGAAAAGGCCATCTGTAACCTCTTTCTTTTTCAATCCCTATTATAACAATGTGCCAGAACCAAACTAGTCTCAAAAACTAAATATCCCCTTAACTCGCACCCCATTGATTAAAATAACTCTCTGGTGATTTGCCAACAGAACTGCTAATTCTTTAATCTAACATTTCAAACTGATTAAAGCCTGCCACCCCACTATTTTACTCCTAAATCCTCCATCGGAAATCAGAGGCCTTAGCTGCACCCTACGTATTTCAAGAGCAAAGGGGAAAATGCACTGCTCGTCTGGAAAAGGACCTGTGAAGCAGCTGTCTGACACCAGGCCAGGTCATCGGTTCCTCCAGTGCAGGACTATTTTCACCAGTAGGCAATGGACCTTGAAGGGCAGGAAGCAGGGGTCTTTCCCATCCCGTGCTACTGGATCCTCTGAACGGGAGATTCCAGGAACTGAACCTGGAACGTTCTCCGTCCTACGAGTTGTGTCCAGTGGTGCCATGCTCCCGGTACAAAGCTGCTGCCTCTTGTGGAACCCTGATTTTATTCTTGCGCAAGTGCCAAATCTGCTACTTCGATTCCACTGGTACAAGAGGGTGCAGAAGTTGTTCTGCAAGTGTTTTGCACAAGGCGCTGTGTAACTGCTACTTCATTAGACTAGCAGTCGTTTGTGCAAGGAGTGCTACTTTTGATAGTGGCTGTGCAATCACGAGCAGGCCAGCTCTTGCAAGTCTTCTGCCGACATAACATGGGATACACTCCAAAACCAGCACCTCTGACATATGCAACATTTTGCCTAATGAAGTCATAATGAGTCGTGCGATGCCTTGTGCAACAATCTATAGCTGGCTTGTGAAGTGCCCCGTGCAACCAATCGTACAACAGTTTGCATTGGATTCAGTACTTGCACAAATACAAAATGGCCCCTGGGACAGAAAGTGTGCACAGGTGGAGTGGCACTGCTGGATACAATGCGCAGCATGTGCTTTGCCGCTTGGGTACAAGCCCCACCCTTTTTAGAGAGAAGATGGTTCTGGTGTGATGAATGTGAAACCTGGTTTGTTGTTGATTTCTGGGGTGTATTTTAAAGATTGCGTAGGAACAAAGGGAGGTTGGGGGTTCTCCCTTCATGTTAATTCCCACTTCTCAGAGGATACAAAACGTGTGTTTGCATTTTGACTGCCTCTGGTCCCACAGCAATTCCCAGTGTCACATGCTACGCATGCAATCACTACCTTTGCTTTTCAGTATTCAGCACTTGAGACTCCTGAGGCAGCGCATCCCTTAAATCAATATATACAGTTGGTGGATCTGGAGGAAACCGCAGTACCGCTGGAGTCAGGCTTCGACCTGTTGTCACTGGTGCTGGAAAGGGAACATCTCTGAAAACATAAATTGCCATGTCAGCAGATCATTCGCCTTCTCTAAAGGACACACAAAATGGATTTTGTTATGACTAGAACCACAGTTACACAAGAAAAAAATTGTTGTATTCCTTTTGCACAACATGGGCTTGGAAGATCCAGTTTCTAGCCTCTGCTAGAGGAAGGCTGGTCTAGGGGTTGCTGGGAATAATAGCCTGATGCATCTGGAGTACACCAGATTTGGGAATGCTGAGCCAAGTTGCTGGAGTTGAAGGGCTGGAACTTGGTTACCGGTGGCCCTGGTTTAAGAACCCTGCTTTTCCAAAGCCTTAAAGATTGCTACTTTAAGACAGTCTGTTGTGAACATAATTCAACCAGATCTCTCCAGGAGGCCCCTTTTTCTTGAGTGGCCTTATTCACCATAACCATCAGCCTCAGCTGCATAGGAGAAACAGGCCCTTGACACACAGGCCTACCTACCTCCCATCACCCTGGCACTGGCTGAAGCGCGGCAGCTTGGCAAGGCACTTCCTGTGGCGCGAACAATGGGCCCGTGACTGCTTGAGTGACAGCTCTTCCAGCTTCCCCATGAGCTTTGCTTGGGACACAGCCCTGAAGGTTTCTGGTGAAAGGAAGGTCAAGGTTAGCATCCCAACTCTTTCTCCAAACGGCAGGATCCGAAAGTAACAGCACGATTCAGTCGAACGTCAACAGAAACTAAAGCAGGGCCTGCTGGGCAATGCAGGATGTGCAGGAAGCCTGAAGCAGAGGGTGAGGGATGCATCACTGGAAGAATGGAATGAGGAATGGAAGAGACTGGAACCAGCTCATCTTCTGGCAATATCACACGCTTGGATGGCCATTTGGGGCTGGGAGAGCAGCGCAACATGGAGACAGGTGGGGAGATCACGTGTGCAGCACTGCAGCTCTATCAGCCAGGCAGCAGGGGCGTGGAAGGGAAGGGGCTTGGAAGTGGAGGAAAGGCTAAACTCTGACAGATGGTGGGTCCTACAGGATCCAAACCAAAACCATTTGAATACAAGGTCCATGAGTTTAAATACTGAGTCAGGCAGACCATTCTTAGATCTTTAAGAGCTATGAGTTTATTCCTCGATTGCTTTTAATTCCCATCAGCTCCAGCCAACACAGGCTATGGTCAAGAATGCTAAGAGAGGCAGTGCAAAACATCTTGGAAACACTAGCTGGGGAAGCCTGGACAGGCCGTCAAGAAAAGAGGTACTGATTTATTTCTACAGTCAAGCCCTGTTTAACCTATTCTGAGTCGTAGTTTCTTTTTGGTAATTTTGGCAGCAAATTTTATGATCATCAACCTTCTTCAACCTGTATTACAACTTCCATCATCCATCAGACAGCATGGCTACAGGTGATTAGTGTTGTAGTGGCTTATTGAAATGGAAAACGTAGCAAGTAACATAAGAATGAAATGATAATTCTCTATATCTTTGCAGAAACCTATTCATAAAATGTTAGACTGTGTATAGTTTTGAGTTTTGTTTTTGGAACCATGCCTCACAAAAGCTTTAATGCACTTCAACTCAATATCACACACCCCAAAACGATGGTCGTGTTTCCTATTTTTACCGTGGTTTGTTGAAGGAAAAGCAGTCTCTGTGATCCAGCTTGCATGGCTGTCATTTTGCATCTCCAGGTCATGTAAAATTTTGTCCAGATCCCATTTCTCCATTTCCTGAAAGGACAACAATTTGTGACTGAACAGGCGTCCAGCAGCAACGGGTGTCGCGAGGCATACTGCCACACTGGCAAGATCTCTAGCACAAAGCCTTGTCTGCCACTTTAAAGCCATCTAAGTTGGTGGCCATGGCTGTGCCTTGTGATAGTGAATTCTATGCCATTGTTTACTGTGCATCACAGGAAGAAATAACACATAGGTTACAAAAGCTTGCATTGCATACATTTTCTGTAATGAACAGCTATGAGTTAATATCTGAAGAGACATCTTGTTCCTTACATTGATATCCTGCGCAGTTTTATGGAGGGCACCATTGTTTAGTCACAGAAAACTGGCCAACTACAGAATGAGATGTTGTGTGTTAGAACTGTTATTATTAGACTTTTGCCCCTCTTTTTTCCAGAGAGAACAGGGTAGGATACTTGGAATGGTCAGGAGAAAAAAAAGCAATAGAAACAACCAAATGCGTGACCAAAACATCAGAGGCGGCAGTCACTTCTTGTTTTCCGAATAAACAAGTCTTTGTTTTTTGAGGAAAGTACCTAAGTCGGGTTAGCATGAGAAAAACTAGTCACATTCAAATACAACAGAAAACCAGAAAAACCCTGGCTTACTAAATCATGAAACGCATGAACAGCATACAAGCAAACATAGCTTGTACACTCTCATTTTATTCCTCCCTGTGCATAAGCAGACAACAATCCGAGATTCAGCAGTTAAACATAGCATCCCATTATGCCTGAACCATCAGCTATGGATTTGCACTTCCAAACAAGCCGGGACTGAAAACCAGCTTAAAACAGGTTTTGACCGTGGCTTGCAAATCCTGCTCATTCCAGATTTGCACATAATGTAAAGCTCTGTTTAAGTGCTGAATTCTGGCTTATTTTTCTAATTGCTCAAAGGGAGGAGCAAAGCAGCAGAAAAGAGAATGTCTGTATGCAGGGCTCATGCATACAAATTTCACATTTCATATAATGAATGAGCCAAGTAAGTGACTGGCCCGAAGTCTGCCAGCGAACTTTATGGCTGAATGGGAATCTGAACTCATGATTTCATCTGTTTTTGATTCTCATATTCTATGTTTTGTGACTTCTAAGACAGAGCAACAGCTTGTTCGGTTTAGACTATCGCCTGTCTATTAACAAAATAATCCTAGTTTGTCATATATCAGGGAAAAAAGAGTTTTTTCATCTGTTCCCAACATGTATGCAAAGAAAGGTAGCAAGAATCCTGTATTTTATAACATGACCTGTCCTAAACATGCTGTTTTTTATACTAGAGTCATGAATCTATGTTATAAAGTGACAGTTTCAGGGCAGCTAATAATAGCATCTGTAATACCATTCTGAAGAAGATGTAAACTGCCAATTACAACTGACTACATCATAGTTACAGCAAACCTTTAAATCCAGTCCTTTGATTCCAATCCAAACAGTGCCAGTGCTGAAAGCGAACGCGCTTGCCGTTGTAATAATCTCCTTGTTCGTTACGGTGTCTGAAACTCCCTCCCCCCTCCCCCTCCCGTTTCCTGACTGATAAACCTCAAGGGAGCAGAGAAGCCTATGAACACCACTGTTCCATCGTGGTGGGTTATGCTTTTGTCATTCACCAGATTCTCCAATTTCATCTGAAACATTTAGACTGGAGCTAATCGCAGCTTGGCAGGAATGTAGTGACCGACTAAATGAGGCAAACTGGGTACGTGTCTCCCAGCAGAGTGGAAGAGATGAAGAAGGCAGGACAACTGATACAGTTGATACAAGGGCTGAGACTGCATTTCAAAGCAGTGGAACAAATATACTTAAGTTACACATCGATGTAGCTGTGACGGGAAATGACAGCAGAGCCCCCCCACCAAACTGTATCGCACTCCTCAGCCATACCGGAGGAGAACTGTTCTTTACTGTAAGCCGTCCTGAGACACCAGTGGTGGGCAGGGCAGAGACGTTTTAAACAAATAAGTCTGTGAAACTGGAGGCAGGCCAACCACCATTCAGCTTTGCCACACTTAGGTCAATGTTTCCCAACCAGGCATTTCCAGACACGTTGGACCATGACTACCTTCAGCCTCGTTGCCTGAGCGTAACTGAAATGGTGATCCAATATATCCAGATAACACCAATTTGAGGAAGGATTTACAAATGAAGCAGCACGGAGTGAGAGAGACGAATGAGGGAGAGGGAAGTGAAATAGCCTAGCTGGGGGTAGGCGGAACGGCAATCGTCGCACAGACTGCCAGAGAGAAGGGGAGTCAGAAGGGCTTGTCAGCTTATACAGGAGCCAAACCATTGGCTGATGCAGCGCTGCCCCTGACTAGTTCAGCTCCACCTGTGTGGCTCCCTGCATGAGAAACCTGTATTAAAAATAAATAAAAATTCTTGCTTGCTGGAAAAAGGAAAACAGGGAGAGGCAACCTAGTCTATCAAAGCTAGAAACTCTAGAGTTTCTTGGAGCAGCCACCAAGAAGGCCCTCTCTTGTATGCCCACCAGATGGTGTCCCCAACACTCATGCGAACGAGAGACAGACCGCCCCGCAAGATCTTATTCAGCACATTTAAATCTGACTTTTCCCTCTTGCAAGGAACCCAAGGTGGCCTCACAGCCCTCCTCCTCGTCATTCTATCCTCACAACAACCCTGCAAGGTAAATTAGGCTAAACGTCAGCAACTGGTCTGGATGTCACCCAGTTGGCTTTATTGCCGAACAGGGACCAGGACCTGGATCTCCCCTGTGCCGCACTCATAATCATGTGGCGTGCATGAGAGATGTGGCCTTTCACCTACCCTGGTTCCAAGCCATACAGTCACATCCAGCACTTTGAATTGTGCCTGGAAAGAAGCCAACAGCCAGTGAAACTGTTGAATCTGCATCATTCTGCAAATAAAACACTTGGATTCACTGGGGGCGCCGCTGTAAGGGTGATTCCGGGTAGGGAGAGAGATGGTGGTAGGGGAGGAATGTATCTGCATGGGAGAAGAGAGGACAGGTATATCACACCTGTCTCCTCTTCCGGTTCCTCCCTCAGCCATAAGGCTCCTAGTGATCTTGTCAGTTAAATGCCCTCTGGCCTGTTGGTGCTGTTATTAAATGCCAGGTCGGTCCAAAATGAAATCTCCCTCATTTATGATATGATTGTTGATGAGGGGACCGTCCTGATTCGTATCACCAAAAGCTGGGTGGGGGGGTTCCTCTCTCCCAGCTGTGCCCTCCTGGGCACTTGGTGCAGCACCAGCATCGTCTGGAGGGTCGGGGTGGCAGCAATTGTCTACAAAAGCGCAATTTCTCTGGCCAGGAGTCCAGTCCACGGGGGGCTGGTTTGGGTGTTTGTACCTGGCACTGGGCACTCGAGGCAGATTAGGGATTTTGCTGCTGTACTGCCCACCCTGCTGCCCAGCAATCTCCCTGCCTGAGCTGACGGAGGAAGCCTTGCATCTGGTGTTGAGGACCCCCAGAATGATGGTCCTGGGGGACCTGAACATTCATGCGGAGACTGATTTAGCTAGGGCAGCTCAGGACTTCATGGCTGCCATGACAACCTATCTCTGATTCTAGCATACTGGACTATAGGCTTACTCTGCTGGGGTACTAAAAACCAAACCTCTGTCACCACAGATAACTAATTTGAAGTTGGTCTTTCTTCTGCCACCACCCTGAATCAAGTCACCTTCACGTTCTCATGGTCCAAACATCATCTGTTAGCTGGTGCAGGCAGGAGTTTGGACAAAACTATGAGACTAACACGACAGAGCTAACATTGCCCATAACAAGCTTATTTTCTCTCCTGCTAATTTCTTTGATTAAACAGAAGCAACAGAAACACGTCATTCCCCCAGAACAAGTCAGAGAGGAGAATGAGACGAGCGGGGCCACCACTCGCAACAACGGCTGTCACACCACCTTCCAATGTCCACCTCCTCCCTTTATCTGGCATTAAGATTTAACATTCAGCTTCACAAGTTCAGACAACAGCCAACGTATTTCGCTCTTCATCTGTCATTCAAAACAATGGACAGCCTCGCTGTTATCAATCACTTTCTGCAAAAAAGAGAACACAGAGGAGAAGGGAATTTTAGTACCACACATACCTTGAAGGCAAGCAGCATCAACTCTCCACGGTGTTCAGCTTGCAGTTCCCTTTCTGATTTTGCTGTCTTTTCTAAACTGTTGTTGTTGTTTTTGGATTCTGAATGATCTACATTTTCAGAATGTAGTCCCAGTGCTGCCTTGGATAGTATTTTTGCTTCTATTAGTTTTCTTCGTTCTTTTTCACTGGTGTTTAACATCAAAAAAGGTGACCCTTCTGCAGATGGCGACATGCCAAGTGATAAACAATGTTCAGAGCCGTCGTCCTTCCTAACATTCTGTTCTTTGTCTGGGAAGGCCCCTGAGATTCCCTTTCCAGATTTACACTCATCTGTAGAGAATTCAGAAGGCACAATGGCTTGCTGGCCTGACTGCTCTTCAGTCAGAAGGTCAAGGCCACCTTTCTCTAGCAATATGTGCCCTCCAGATGCAGACTGAAGGGCACTGCTGTCTGTTTCAAAAGTTGGATTGCCTTCATTTTCATTCCAGATCTTTCCTGGATGTCTCATGAATTCAAATGTTTTCTGAAAGTGCAGAAAAGATACCAGTCACATCTCAATGTCCAAGACAGTGTATTTGAATATCCAGTGTTCCAAACCAGAAAGACTGAATGAGCCACATGTGGTTTCAAATGAAATAGCCCATGATAGATGCATATTGGAGCCCTCCAATAACAACTATTCCAACCTGGCAAAATGGAGCCCAGGAATGGCCTGTACAGGATAAAGGTATTTTTGACAACTTTTGCATATTCTGTGGGAGGCCAGTGTAGGCAGGACAGGAAGTCTTCAACTTTCTTAAGCTTGGAGTACTAACCTGTAATATAGGAAGAGATTTATTTCTTTAACTTGCCTGTTCCTCTTTTGCCTTCTCTTTACCATTTTTCTCCTCTCTCTGAGAGCATGGATGCACATTCATTCTTTCCCTGGGAAGTGCAGTTCACAGGAGAGGGGAATAAAAACCTCTTAACTGTAATTCCTAAGATTTGGTAGGGTGCCATGATGTCCCAACTCTCACAGAAGGGGCTTAAATATGCAGTGTAGTGCTACCACACCCCTCTCCTTCTCCTGATTTTGTTACACACCTTTTAAAAACCAAAAGCTACGGTGTCAGCAGGGAAAACCAATGCACATGCTGTAGGTAAGGCAAAATCCCCAACCATTCTGAACCTGTGGACACATTTGCAACTTTGAGAAACTGCTTTGGGTGTCTGCACTACTTGAAGATTTAAGGACTACTGAATGTCAACCTTTCAGTAGATCTATACTTAGAAGTAATTACTGGGGAAGGCAGAGTTTGTTGGGAAGAAGAGATAAGCAGCCAAAACTTCCTGGCAAGCTTACATGAACAGTCTTCTCCTCCTCCACTTCATCAGGGGTCTAAAATTCCTTCAAAAGTGCACTCGCTAAGCAATTTTCCTTCATGTTCTAGACATAGCAAAATGAGACATTTCATACAAATTTGGTCTCTAGTATTAAACCATCTGGCCAAAAACAAAACTTGGAATGGCTATGTTGGTATATTAGAAAAGTAAATCCCAAAGTCACGATATAGTAATGTCTTTAATAAGACCAATCAAAATCGCACACAATCACGTGTATTCCACCTGGTAGCATCTTGCAACCTCTCTTGCTTATAAATAGGTCTGCATAACAGAAACCCATCTGTTATGCAGATGGTTATGCAGATGTTATTTCTGCAACCCATCTTAAAACTCTGATAAACTGACAATCTCGGGACAGCAACTTTATGTCCAGCTTTTGCACGGGCATGCGCACACGCAAACCTAATCAAAGCACTGCTATACCGACACTGAGGCCAGTGATCGGAGGCAGAACCAATGACCTGGAGGCGTGCTTCCTCTGGAGGGATATCTTCCAGTTCCTCTGACAAGTCAGGTATGAGGTTGGATTGATCTCGCTGGAAGATGAAAAGCTCCCCATCTTCTTCTTCATCAGACTATCAAGGGGTAGAAAGAAACAATGAAATTCATGCCAAGGCAATAGAAGATAAAAGGAAGCAGGCATTGGTCCTCACCCACCCTCTTTCTTGGACACCTCAGTACTCATTATACAAATGGCTAAAACACATTTATTTGGAAGTAATTAATGTCAAAATCTGTGACATTTCATTATAAAAAAATGATGGAATGACTTAAGGGAATTGAACAGAGATAATAGGATTAGCAAAAGAGTTAACATGCTGGGTGGAAATCCACAGTATCTTACAGCACTTTGAGTTACCACCACCACCCACTCCAGGAAAGAAAGCAATCTATTTATGTCTCTTGAATTAAGCCCATGTATGCCTTAATTTTCTGTGTAATTCTGAGTAGAAAACAGCTTTCCTGAGGATTTTGGAAATCTACATCAATCTTTCTCTACCTAGAGACCTCCAGATGAATTGGAGTATAGTGGTTATGCTGGTTGGTGATGATGGGAACTGTAGTCCAACTTGCCTGGAGGACAGCAATCTGAGGAATGGTGCTCTGCATCTTGGATGGTTAACAATAATTTCTTGAGATTGGAAGAACAGAAAACAGGGAACAGTACCTACCTTCAGAATGTCAGAGTCCATTGAGGGGATCTGATCCTTCACTGTAGACAGGACATCTGCCCATTGGAAAGATGCTGTCAAACAGTTGGCAGGAGTCTCTTTTTCCTTCCTTTGGTCCTTGGACGCCATAGGAAATAGTCTTCTATCAGACTGCACTTCAGAAAATGGCTCTAAAAAGAAAGGGGCAGAAATAAGCACAGCGTAGAAATGTCTAAATAGATTAAATGGCACATGTGCTTTTCTTGAACTAAGGAGAAGGGGTGTCCCTGTGCTTAAGTTCCTCACTTGGAGACCTTACAGTAGTCTTGATGTCTTCGCCTACATCTCAGCTCATGGTTGCAGTGAAGAGAAAGCTGGGATAACCCCTTGGACAGTGCTCTGGGCTCCTTGGAGGAATACTGGGACAGTAATGTCTTGAAGAAGAACTGGTTGAAAACCTTGTAGCACTTGACCCATTATTTGAGGATCAGAACTAATTCAGCATTGTATCGTGTTCCCACTGTACCAAAACAGATGATGTACCTCCTACCATTATGGCAATTAAGAGAAATATGGTGCATATTTTATATGAACTGCAGGTGATTTATTTTCACATGCAAAGTTACCACTGTGGGGCAATATGGATTTAAAAACTGGCACTCTCAGCAGCTTTTGATACCATTGACCATGGTATCCTTCTGGGGCAACTGTCTGAGTTGCACGTGAGTGGCACTTCGTTGCCTGGATGGCAGGCTCCAGAAGGTGCTGCTTGGGGGAATTGCTCTGTCCCTTGGATTCTACAGCATAGGGTTCCTGGGGGCTCAGTCAATGAACACCTACTGCTGAGCGAGGTCATCCAGAGTTTTGGAGTGCATTGTCATCAACAGAGGCAGCAGTTGTGCTCTGGAGGCACAGCCATCACCACCAGCAGACTACTTCAGGGAAAGGACCGAGGCGGCAGCTGAAAAGTGGTGCCAACAGGGAATTGCACATGTGGTGTTCCATTCAGTGACCACTTCGGATGGGCGTGGAAAGAGGCCAGACTCTCCGAAACGGCTATTGATCAGCTTAGATGCATAGCAGCCAGTTTGGTTTTATCATTTTCATTTTAATTGTGTGTGTAGGTGACTTTGGGAAGCAAGGGGGTGGTCACATGTAGAGAGCCATCTGGCACTGGGGGACCAGTCCCAAGCCACCCAGTAAGCTTCACGGCTGAGTGGAGACTAAAATCCAGATCTCCCATGTCCCCAGTCGAACTCTCTAAGCCCTACAGCACGAAGAATGAGGACCGGTGAGGGTGAAATGGGACTGTAAATCACGCCATGTTCTTTGCTGGAAAAAAAGGCAGGATATAGTGTGTGTGTGTGTGTGTGTGTGTGTGTGTGTGTACGCGCTGCATATGGATCATGCCATTTGGAACACTTGCAGGTCTTTGTTTTAATCACTTGAGTGATGTTTGTTTTCTTTCTAAATGCTTCATCTCTGTTTGTGTGTGCATGCCTACAGTTTTACATTTCTGTTATTAGCAATACATCATTAATAGAACATTATATTCTTAGAAAGCTATTATATCATTGACAACTGAGCGATTTTCCATTTTAGAGACAGAGGCACCTGGATGCACCAGACACCCGCACTTGGCGCGGAAGGGAGATGAGAGGGGGCGCCTGTACCTGCGAACCACGGGGCCCCCCTTGGCCACGCCCCTCAGACGCCGGGCGGCGCCTTTCCCGTCACCATGACAACCAGACGCCAATAACTGCTCGCGGTCTCCTCCGCAGGCAGGCGAAGCGCCACCCGGTGCTTGGCCGGACCACACACTCCCCCGCCTCGACTCGCCGGTCGGCACACCCGAGCCCCGCGCAGGCGGCGCGCCCCACACAGCGAGCCACCCGCCGCCCCCGCTCGTCCCATTCAAACGGCGGGCGCCGCCTCGTCGCCAGCCCCGCCTACTCCTGCGGTCCTGGCAGGTTAGACACCACGCTGCTCTTCGTTAGGCCCGCCCTGCCGCCTCAGACACGCGCCTCAAAAAAGAACGTGAGCTACATATGCCTATGGAAGCAGGGAGGCTCCCGATCTGGAGCACTGAAAGCCTGAAAGAAAAGACTGAGGGCCTCAAGATGGTTTCTATATTTCTTTCCGCTTCTTTCCCCTTACGAGACCTGCTCCGTTACGCCACCCTCGCGAGCGCGCGCGAGGGATAACCTGATTGGTTCATTCGATCGGAAGAAAGAGGAGGCGAGGCGGGCAAAAGAAAAGACCCGGGGAATCTTGGCTTTTCATTGGCTGCCTGAGCAAAGGCTCCGGGGGTGCCGTACAATGGGAGAGAAGATGGTCACGTGGCCGGAGTGACCTGAGAGAGGCCCTCCGGAAGTCCGGACATTCTTCAGTCGGCGTCGTTTTGGGGCATTTCCGGAGAGTGGCTGCGCTGCACTGAGATTAAAGTAGGGAGGTTCGCGCGGTGGCGGGAAGTTTGTCGTAGTTCTCATGGGTGGTTGTAGCCTCGGGGAGCCTCTGAAGGCCTCCCTTCTCAGGTAGACTTCGACACCAGGCTTTGCGTGGCGCTTTGCGGCTCCCCTGAGGGCGCCACACAAGGTGCCGTCGGGGAGCGACAGCTGCTAGAGTTGCTTTTAGCCACTTGTGCTATGACTGCGCCTGTGTGGGATTTTAGTGCAACTTCGTCACGGTGCTTTCCAGATGTTTTAGACTCCATATTCCAAATTGGGGATGTCGGGAGGGGTAGTCAATACATCTGGATGGTTCCAGTCTAGGAAAGGCTGTTCAAATGCCTTGCTCTCATCTGTTGATCTTGATCTGTTCTAATGTCTGTTTGATCATCAGAGTTGGGCAATGTCAACCTAAATCTGCAGGCACGTGCAAGCTTTTAAGTTCTCTGGAAGTCTTTAGCAGGCACATTGTTAGGTGTAAGCTGATACTTGCAGCACTTACCGCCGACTTTATCAGTCGGACTGTAAATTTCTACTTAAAGACTGCAGGTTTCTTTTTTCCTATTTTTATTTGTTTAATGTATATGCATGCTGCTCGGTGCAGGATCTCTAAAAGTGCAGTTCTATGCATCTTTAGATAGAAAATAGCTCTACCACACCTAGAGTTCCTGAGCCAGCATTGCTGGCTGGGGAATGCTGGGCATGGTAGGACTTTTTCTGTTTAAACATGCAAAGGATTATGCTCTAAGTGGTCTACAAAATGCATAAATAACTACAATACCTGTCTAGTCTCTGGACTTTGCTGTTTGTTTTCTTATCCCCTGCTTTTTGTGCCACCTAAGTTATTGCCCTGTAGACAAGCATGGCTATTTCTGGCTTTAAGAAAATGGCATGCTTCAGAAAATATGTGATTAGATAATAAATAACATTCTGATTTGTAGGTCCTTCAAATTTGTTAATCTAAATGGTTGTTCTTTTTCTCTGCGTTGAGCTTTTTGAGTTAAGCTATGGTATAAATAAGTAAGCATGCTTCTAGATGAAAGACTCCTGGTACTAACAATCAGAAGAGCTTGAGCAGCTATCCCAGTGATGGGAGCTATATTAGAGATGTGCAAAACTATGCATAGTATGGAATATTGATAAAGAGACACTTTCTCTCTCTCTCCTATAATTCTAGAACCCAGGGTCATCCCAGTAAACTGATTCAGGGTACATAAAGGGAAGGATTTCTTCACATAGCACATAGTTAAACTTTTCTACCATATCCTACCATATGTAGCAATAGCCTTCTGTTTGAAATATTTTAAGGACAGGACAAATTAATAAAGAATAAGGCTATTAATAGATACTAGTACGTCTAGCACTGGTATGACTGTATGCAACCTCTGCTTTCTGATGCAGTGTAACCATGTACACTGCTTGGTGAGGTATATGGACAGGGAGATGCTTTTGTATTCATGACCCGCTTATGGCTTTTCCATGAGCAGCTAGTTGGCCACTGTGGGAACAGATAGACTAGATGGGCCCTTGTTCTGATTGGCATGACTTGTCTTATGCTTTTATCCCACTTCTTCTTATGTAACAGGATTTAATGTGCTAGCAAATGAGCCCTTAAATTGGGCTATTTAGAGGAAAGCTATGGCAAATCTAGACAGCATCCTAAAAAGCAGAGACATCACTCTGCCAACAAAAGTGCATATAGTCAAGGCTATGGTTTTCCCAGTTGCAATGTATGGCTGTGAAAGCTGGACCATAAGCAAGGCTGAGCACCGAAGGATTGAGGTCTTTGAATTGTGGTGCTGGAGGAGACTCCTGCGAGTTCCTTGGACCACAAGGCGATCAAACCAGTCAGTTCTAGAGGAGATCAACCCTGACTGCTCTTTATAAGGCCAGATCCTGAAGATGAAACTCAGACTTTGGCCACCTAATGAGTAGGAAGGACTCCCTGGAGAAGAGCCTAATGCTGGGAACAATAGATGGCAAAAGAAGAAGGGGCAGCAGAGGATGAGGTGGCTGGATGGAGTCACTGAAGCAGTTGGTGTGAGCTTAAGTGGACTCTGGGGGATGGTGGAGGACGGGAAGGTCTGGAGGAGTGTTGTCCATGGGGTTGCGATGGTTCGGACATGAATTCACGACTAAAACCAACAAATTTACTGTTTTCCACAAATAACGACAGGAGTGCCATGTTTCAGAGTTCTTACTGCTTGAATTGCGGGCAGTGGCATTCATGCAGATCTTGCAGATGGAGGGGGCCAAGCATGTTTTGGCTGGAGGTAGTGGCAAAAACTTGGGTGGGAAACTTTGCCCAGAGGCAAATAGCAGAGGTATGCTTGGCAACACAATTTAGGTTCTCCCAAATACAAACTTGGTCAGATAGTCAACGGCTTCTTGGAAACTGCACTCTTTTCTCTGCAGCAAGAACACTGGTATAGGAATATTGCCCAGAGAAGCAACCAGTTCAAAGGAGTTGTTGTTGTCTTCTTTCCCAGAGAGGGAAATTAGATTGACTTCCAAGCTCAAGTTTCTAGGGGCATGCTTCCCATACCTTTCAATGCATATTCTGAGCCTCTTAGAAGTTTGCTCTTCATTTCCCATAAACTCTTAGAAGTTTGCTCTTCATTTCAGTGGAGGGGGATAACATCTGCATTCATCCTGCTTCATGGCCAGAGTTGCCATCACTGTTGAAATGAATGGGGAAACCTGCTCATGCATCTTTACCTTGCATTGCTTTGGAACAAGCCCCTCATTCTAATGCTGGTCCACATATTCACTTCCTTCCGTCGTCCATCCTGTGTTGGCAGGTGTTACTTACAGGGGGGCAGCACATCATCAAAGATGTCTCAGTAGGCCTGGGTTCGAAGCAATTACAGTGTCACATGGCAGACAGGGTTGCAGGAGGTTTTCCGTGAGCCTTGTGACAGCTTCAGCCCTGCTCCCGTTCCTGTAGCAACAGGTGGTTCTGTGAACATTAGCAAGTGGTAAAGCTTCTTTGTGTACTGTGAAGAAATATCACATGTTGGTTTGTGTTGATCAAGCTACTGTCAGAGGCACAGGGATAGATTGTCTCATCTTTTCCCAGTTTTATTCAATTCATCTATATGCTGCACTGAATTCAAGGTGGCCTACCTAGGGATCCCAACCTCATACGTTTTCAGGTCTTATGAGGTCTTGATATCCTACTGAAATGCTTCTAGCATGGTAGCAAAAGCGAGAAACTGATATTTGCTTCCTTTGCCTCACTAGGTCACCATGTCGGAGCTGAGCGACGAAGCCAGCGAGTCAGAACTGCTGAATCGCAGCCTGTCCATGTGGCATGGCGTGGGACAGAGGGTCTGTCAGCAAGAGTTAGATGTTCCTCTGGATCTTCACACAGCAGCCTCTATAGGGCAGTATGAAGTGGTAAAGGAGGGCATTCAATGGTAAGGGGCAGCTGTCTTTTAAGAGGAAAAAATAATGTCCTTTTGCTACAGTTTTTCTTTATTCACATTGACTTCTATAGATAAATGAGGCTTCATCTACATGTGCAGCAGAACAAAATGGTAGAGTCCTGAGTTGGTAAAATGGACTGAACCACCGCAGACAGTAAGTAGAGGATCACCTTTTTGAATGCTAAAATAATGACAAAATACTGTTTCCAGAAGAGGAAAATTGGCACAGCAGCAATTAGGATGGGCGGTAAATGCTCCCCGTGATATATTAGTATTTCGGATACATGGGGGAGCATTCCAGACTAACATCCCCCATCTTCAGCCTAAATTGGTAGAGTCCATTCTACTACAGTTTTGCTGCACAGGCAAATCAGCACCAGTTATTTAAAGTCATTATTCGGCACCAGTTATTTAAAATAATTCTGTGAAGCATAACAAAAGTCTCCTGGAATCATTTGAGGCAAAGAAGTAGAAATAAGAGGGTGATGCAGTCAGTCTTTCCAGTTGCTAATGTGGAGAAATGCATTGCTGCGAAGACTGTCAGCAAGATGTTTACAATGGTGGTCCGTTTTGAAGTTGCGCAGCAGGGCAGGTTAGGAAACGACTTTTCAGATTTATGATCCATGGTAACTTGTGATACTTTGCATGTGGAAAAGGAACTTACCCCATGCCTTTCAGCAGGGAGATAGACCTGAACCAGAGGAACTGCGGTGGCTGGACCCCGTTAATGTATGCCTCTTACATTGGTCACGACACCATTGTGCATATGCTGCTGGAAGCCGGTGCAAATGTGAATACGCCGACACCAGAAGGGCAGACTCCGCTCATGCTGGCCGCTAGCTGCGGCAACGAGAGTGTGGCCTCTTTCCTCCTCCAGGTAGGTGTACTTGGTAACGGCTGCAAAAGGTATCAGCCGTGAACTTTATACGTTTGCAGGATTCTTTCTAATTGGTGCAGCACAATGTGACTAAGAAATGAAGGTGATAAGACGTAAGTGAGACTTTTCAAGTTTAAAACAACTAAAGCAGATGATAAAAACCTGACATCAGAAATAACCAAAAAAAAGAGTGACTCTGTGGAACACTTGGTGATCTTCCTCCAGCCTCTGGGGGACTGAGTACGTCTTTAAAAACCTCAGGAAAGAGTTCCATTTTAACCTGTCGCTGAGAAAATGAGAGATTTGGCACCAGTCAGGCTGCAATGGGGAGATTACTCCATAGATGGGGGGCCAGCACTGAGAAAACTCCTCCCCCTTGCTTCCATCCCCCACAGTTCCCTCAGAGTTGGCACTTGAAGAATGGCCCCGGAAGTTGAGCGTAGTGTTTGGGTAGATCGTGGTTTTACTGTTCTTTCCCCTAAGCTGCTTGAAAATCTCTCTAGTACAACCATTTCTGTTGTCCCGAACAGGAAATAAACTGGTAAAGCATCTTTTCGAAAGGCATCTTATTCCTTTATCTTATTGCAAAGGCATCTTATTCCTAATAAAAGAGAAAATGGAATAGCCCCTTTTTTCTTTCAAGGGTGGCCCAAAAGTAGAGGGTCATAACATATCTAATTCTCATTAAAGTGATAAAACCAGTTAAGGCAGGTGAAGCTTACCTGTACAGAAGTATGTCCCTTTGTCTTTACACCATTGATAAATAACTCTTTTATTCCAGCTAGTTTTTGCTCTGTATTTCTTACTATTGCCATTTTAAAACATTAGACTTTGGAGCTGCTTTTCCAATACTTAATGTTTTATTTTTAGAAGAATACATTAGCAGTCTTGTTTTTGCCATCACTGTAATCTGCCTTGATTATTATTGTAATGGAAAAAGTGGATATCAACAAACCGACGTGCTTGCAGGCTGAGGTATGGTGCAAATGCTCGATTGCCCCCTCACTGTACCTTCTGGCTTGAAACAGGCACGGGGAGGGGCACTGCCGTAACAGACGCTCTGTATTTCTTTGAAGCGAGGTGCCCTGTTGGAGATGAAGGACATGCACGGCTGGACTGCCCTCTTCCATTGCACCAGCGCTGGCCATCAGCAAATGGTCAAGTTCTTACTGGACAGTGGCGCCAATGCCAACTGCAGGTAAGAGTGAACACAATGAGTGTCCTCCCGGGTTTTGAACACCTGCTGTCATCACACAATGCTTTATGTTAATTAGGTGAGCGGATTCCTGCCTTTGTACCTAGCGCTAAGGGCAGAGGTAGCAGTTTTTGTGCCTCCTCTAGAACTGTTCTACCAGCTTTTATTTCAGAAGCCTGGACATGCCCCGACATACAGAGGCTGTGTATGTGCTACAGTGGTGCAAAGTTACCTTCGGAACTTGCTTTCTCTAGATTTGGCAACTGCTGACATGGCTAAAGTAGTAACACTGGCTGCTTCTGACTGAAGGCCAGTGCGACTGTATGCATTGGAAGAGGCAAATGTGTTGGTCAGAGAAACTATGTTTCCAGAAAGACAGTAGTATGGAAAGATACTAGAATTCTCAGTACTAGAAACCTCCTAGAATTCTGGCAAATTGCAACAAGATGGTTCCACTGCTGGCCTTCAGAGAACTTTTATATAGGAAGCAAGAAAAATGGAACACTGAACAGAGTCTTCCTGTTGATCCATGAAAATGCTGCATCAGAAAAATAACAAGATTTTAAAGATTATGTCCTTCCAGTTCTGCATGTGAAACTGCATTTCATGCTGCTCCTTGGTTCACATTCTTGTATTTCATTTCCTGTCAAAGCATTAGTACTTCATACTATTCTTTTTGCTCCTCTCTGGTCTCACTGCTTAATTCATCTGGCTAGACTTTTTCTTTTTGCTTGCTGTTTAGCCTTGATAGTTCTTTTATGGAGCTCCGTGTCAGTACATTCTCTTTGGCTTCAGTGCAAACACTTTCAACTGGACTTGCTCTGCTCCTTGTTACTTGAATCTTGGTTCGCTGTTGCTTTGCCTCAAATTTCTATGTGAAGGCATTTTCTTATATAGAAGTGTATTCAAGTAGGTGAACCTCCACCTGCAGTCTGAAGAAATGTAACATATCAAGTCTTCTGTCCTGAAATGTGGGCAAGAAATATTAAATTAAGTTTAAATAAATAAAAGTAAGCCTATATTTCCTTTGAGAAGAGAGGTGACAGGATGTCTTGGGGATGCTGAATTTGGCCCAGGGGCTCTTCCCCACAACTGACAGTTTAAAGTAACTTGGGCACTTTTCAGACCCAAAGGAGAAGGGTGCCGCTCAGTTGTAGGTGCATGCAACATCCCTACTTCAGTCCTTTAGCTAGAGACCGAGAAAGCCAATGCATCATAGCCTTGGCCTATAGACGTGGACAGAAATGCTGGAGAAGGCTAATGCTGAGACCTTGAACATTTGCTTGTCTGGGTAGATAGTACTGAGCTAGATGAACCAATGCCTGACTCTGTACGATTGCTTTATTTGTTGATGCTGGAATATGGTGTTACGGCCAAATTATTCTAGTGTTGTGCGTCCAGTATTGCTTGCTCTTGATTCTTTCCTTCTCAGCTGACCAGCATGCCCCCACTGCATTGATAACTACACCTCTCTTGACCCTAGCCTTCCACGGGCTGTATCTTTCTGTTGTCCAGGGAGCCCCTCTGTGGATACACCCCACTGATGGAAGCGGCTGCTTCTGGCCACGAGATCATTGTCCAGTATCTTCTCAATCATGTAAGTGAGTGTCGGTTTCTCAGGTAGTCCACAGACCCGTTCCTCTCCTCCAGTGGTTTTCCAACTTGTGGCAATTTGACAGTACATCAAGTGGTATTAGTGCCGCAGTTGAAAAGCACTGCTCTAGTATCGATGTTAAGTAACCCAGTTTTGTTTTGAGGCTGCAGTTTTCACTGATGTGGCTTCTGACTTTATCATGGGCTAAGAGACACAAGAGGCCTGTACATCCACCTGGTTCCTTCAGCACAGCTTTGCCTTCATTATCTGTCCTGTCCTGGGTGCTTCCCATTTTTCTGCCACTATACATATTTTTCCTTTTAGAAAGCATTGCATATAATCAGCAACTATTTTCCTTTTCTTGAGATATATTATGATTTATACAACACACCTATGGTGTCTAAATCACTCTTAGCGACTTATCTTCACCCTGGATATTTCTTTCACTTTTATAGCAGCTCTAAAAATGTTAACTCTTTCCTTCAGCATCACATCTAGACTTTCTTTAAAATCATACCAAATGTGTCTTACTGGAATGAGTAAATGCCAGGTCAGTCAGGATTAACATATGGTGCATTCCTTTATACCTTTCTTCTTTGGCTGAATTTTACCAGATTTTTATAACCAGTATAACATCAAAAATGTCTCTCTTCCTGACTCATTCTGTTCCTTACCTACACTGATTGTGCTCTTCCTGCACATCATGCTATGGGGCAAGGTCAGCGAGAGGGGAAGTATCTACGTCTATTGCATGCTCTCTTCTCTTCTCTTCTCTTCTCTTCTCTAGGATGTGCAAGCTGGGAATGTAAAGAACAAAGTGGGGGTTTTGCACTGCTATTTACACTGCCACAACAGCAGCAACACAGCAAGGCCATTTTGCACAGCACATGAAACGAACTGCAGCACATATGACTTCGGTTTCGATTGCACAGTGATTGGTTGAGGCTTCATGCTGTTGTCTGAGCCTGGTCATTCCAGGGTTAAACAACCCTCCGTGAACCCCGACTGCAAATCATGGATTAATCATGTACAATCTAAATGGCTGCAGTGCATCTCAAGGAGGTGTTTCGTTTTCCATGAGTCAGCCATATTACTCAAAATGGGTCCAAGTCTTTTCAGCATAGTTATTCTACTGTATGGCTTCTGCAAATGTTTAAATGCTTTTAAATGCTATTCTATGTTCTCTGTGTTAATCAAAGCTTGTCCATCTTTTTCTAATTTTTAATAACATTTTTAGTTTTTAAATTTTTGAATTTTTAAGGTTTTTTAAGCCTCTGGTTCCTAAGCCAGTCCAACTGGATTGGTTTATTGAAGGTTGGGTTGGGAGATCATCCCTATTGCACCTTTGCCTCAGACTTGCTTGGGTAGCTCTGTAATATTGGGGTGAGATACTTGCAGCTAGTTCCATCCTTATGACGACTTCACAGGTTAACTTCTGAAAATATATTTCTAACCAAGCAGTTAAAAATGGTAATATTTGTGAAACAAGCGTTTCAGATGACAGTGTCTTCCAATTATGACCTTGTGGTTTTTCCCGTTTATTCTGCCCCTTTCTTAGACAAAAAGTCCATGAAGGAAGGAAAGTCGGAATATTCACAGAACATATTTTGATTGAAAGTGATAGGAGCTTCCTGTCTGGAAGCAGCTGTGGTTACTGAATACATAAATATTTCTACCCTGTGATCAAGCTGTAAATGCCTAGGTGCTTCATTTCCTCTGTTAATGAACTGGGTACTGAGGTCACTCAGCAAAAATAATGCAATAGTTTCTACGAATATCTGGCTGAGCACAATTTGAGACATAATATATTTGTGTGTCATTTTGAGGTGAATGGAGAAAAGTGGCTGGTACATTCGGAACGACCTGCCTGTACCTGCACCCCAGTATATAGCCATAAAATTTGCAGGTTTCAGGTTCATTATATGCAGGTTTCAGTTTCTGAAACTCACTCTCTTCCTTCTCCACTGCAGCCCACAGAGGGGCAGGCAAGAGCACAGGTTTCCTGTTGTAGACAGCCTCGAGCTATGAACCACATCACTGCTCTACAGGCGAGGGCAGAAGATGAGAACATATGTTAACATTTTGTTGCAAGTTACATTTGTGTATATTCTAATAGGAAAATCAGGTGGCCAGCGATCTCTTTGGAAGCAAAATGGGACCACCCAAAAATAAGGGCCCCATAAATTTTCAGATTTGTATCACTGAAAAATAGCTGTATAAGTTTCTGTGTGATACAGTGTTGAAGTCATAGATACGAATATGTGGAGTAACTCATCTCATTGAGGGGAAACCTGGGATTTTACAATTAATGACAAGGTTATGAATGCCTTTTGGGATTTCTTTGTTTACTGTGGACACATTTCACCTCTACCTAGGGTGGGTTGTGTGGGGAAGAGGTTCTGAAGCAGGTTCTCCAAAATACGAGTCCATGGATGTTTTAAACGGCAATTGCCAGCACCGTGGACCATTGGCCAGGCTGGGTGAGGATGGCGGGATATAGTACGGTGACCTCTGGAGGTCTAAGGGTTGGAAAAGCTAATCTAAAGGAAGTGGAAATGGGGCAGCGCGTGGTGGTGAGCTACTGAGATTAAAAAAAAATGTTCAGGTAGCAGGTTGTTAGTGCGGAGCAGGTAAAGGAAGAGCGGCAGCAGAGAAAGAATGGTCCTGCTCCAGCTCCTAACAGCTTTATAGTAAGCATCCTCATGGAAGATGGGTCACAGGAACCCAGAGATGGAAAGCCCCTTTTCCTTTCCCAGTTTTTTACAATAATAAAGTTCTTGGCTGTTAACCTATATGTAGTCCTAAACTTGGTCCGTCTAGGAATATATAGGTCAACAGAGGAAGGTAGGTGGTTGGCTGGCTGGCAAAACAGTGTTCCCTCCCATCTCCAGTTAGTACTGCAAATCCTGAACAGAGGTGCTCCAATGAAGGGCTGGCAATATGCTGTGCCATTCTCCTTTATGTCTTACTTCTCTTGATCCATTTTCATACTCGAAATAGGATCAGAAGCCAAGCTTTACTGTCACAGACCCTGGAAAGTCTGCAGATTTATTGAATCAAGATAGTGAAACCCTAATTTCTACCTTTATGCCTGGGAAACTACCTAATCCCATGAGGATGGTGCCTACTGAGTCTAGCTAACAGTGCAAGTCCTTTGGTGGATCCTGTATGGATGCTGTGTGTAAACCTGCCCCCCTAGCATCTTGCCTGGACCATGCAACCTTTGAACAACCCTGGTCGCCTCAGAGCTGACAAAATAACTGAACCAGGGCTGCCTCCCAACAGGGCGTGCGAGTAGATGTGCGGGACAGCACTGGAGCCACAGCGCGGGCGTTGGCCATGAAGTACGGACACGTGAAGATCGTGGGGCTGATCGACCTGCATGCTGCCCCCGTGCCCAAGGTCCTTTGCAGGGGCCCAGGTGACTGAGCCGCCTTGTTACAGTCTCTTGCCAAAGGGGTCTTTGGCTTGCTTAGCTAAATGCCCACCTTGCCTTCCTTCTGGCTCTCATCTTTCCACTGTATTGTAGTTTCTCAGTAAGTTTGCAGTTTATTTTCTCCCGTTTCCACAGAAGAAGCAGAAGGTTTTGAGGTTAGAAATAAAAGTCCTTGGCAAAAGGGACTGGGCTGGGTCTTGCTAGAGCTAAGTGAGCTTTCCTCAGCATGGTGCCCCCTTGATTCTTCAGTTGACACTATTCCTGACTAGCTTGGTTAGGGCTGATGGAAATTGAAATCCAAAGCATCTAGAGAGCACCCAGTCAGGGAAGGCTGCAAGGCAAGACGTCTTAACAGCAGCCTGGCCGTACACTTCCAGGAGAAACCACCTGGAAACTAGCCCAGAGTAGACAGTGACATAGGGGAACAGAGCAGCATTTCCATAGATGCTAGATCTACTGACTGCATTCATTTTGATCCTCAGGAAAATATGAAGATCTGAGCTCATCCGATGAATCCTACACTGCTCCTCAGAGACAAAAGCCTGCTCGCAAATCCAAAGGCCCCAGTATCCATGAAGGGCCCCATGCCTTGGCCAAGATAACAGGAGTCCGAACTGGAGGGAAAAACCAGTCACGTCATGGTGAGTTTGTGTCACTTCCTCTCTCTTAATGGGTTTCCAAACTCTTATGCTTGGGCTACTGCAGTTTCTTGCCTAATGCTTAATGCTTTGGTGGTGAAACCTCCTTTTATCGAGCCTGGTGCAGGGGAGAGCTGACGTTAGTTCACCCTGCAGCATGGGCCTGCCCCTCTACCTTCCTCTGAGATTTCGGGTTGAATAGTTCTATCTTTGTGACCATTGGGAGGGCAGGAGATTAGAATACTGCTGCATCTTCTGTATGGGTCTTAGTAAATCCTCTCCTTTTTTCCTTTTCGCCAACTGAAGAGCACGATGTTCAAGGGCATGTTTGCTATCTCAGCAAGTCTTTCCCGTGGTAGAGTGAGCGGTCAGTGAAACCTGGTCATTTCAAAGTGCCAGCTGACAGATCTATTGCTACATGTACTTCAGTACTTTCTTTCTGCTGCTTTATGATTTTGTGGTTTTCTTAAAACTGTGTTGATGGTGTGCTGTACTTTCTGGCCATCATAGGAGCCTTTTCAACAGAAAAATGGGATTAATAGGATTTCAGTAAGCTCTCACTTGTTCAGCAGGCATATTAACTCGGACAAAGGTTATGTAATAGCATAGTTGCTGTATGAAATTTCTCCATTCGTTTGTTCACCTCTCTTCCTCTCACTGTATCCCTTTTACACACAGAACAGGTCCCGCCCGAGGGCTATGTTACCTTTAAAGATGATGGAAGTGGCTTTGAAGGAGGAGATCTCCATTACAGAGACGTCACCTCTCCCATCAATGAGCATGATGTGGAAAGTAGCAGCAGCCGAGGTATCTCCTTATTTCCTTGAAGTCAGGTTCTTGTTGTGAATTAACTGCATTTCCCCTCATGATCCTGAGGCCAAGAGGTCAAAGAACACCTGAAAATTGAAGTAGACAACTTCACCCTTTTAGATAAGCATTTTTTGTTGGTGTGGAATATGGCTTGTTCTAGAGTATGCAATCAGAGGATTCACTATCAATTTAGTTACGTTCGGTCAAGTTGTCCCAGAGTTGCAGCGTCCCAATGAATGAAAGCCCTCTAAAACGTTCTGTCCATGACAGCCCTGCTCAGCATTCATATTTGTCCCTTTTTTCTTCTGCCTTCAACTTTCTCTGGCATGATTGTCTTCTCCTGCAAGTCTTGCCTTCTCATGATGTATCTGAAGACTGACAACCTCAGTTTTGTCACTTTTGCTTCCAGAGGAGGCTCTGGCTTGAATTTTGGACCTACTTGCTTCAATTGTGCATCCACTTTCTTCCCGACTGCTTATTTCACTGTCCAGCTTGCACACCCATAGATTGCGATTGGTAATACAATAGTATTGTTTCAACAAGGTCTGAGTGGGGAAGCTCACCATTTTCATTACATTTATGCCGTCCGGCGGAGCTTTTTCGGGTGGTGCAGGGGCTGATACATCCGGGCCCGAAGAAAGATCTTGTGCCACCCTCGAATGCCCACTGTGATGACTTTGCCAAGCATTTCACGGAGAAAATCGCTCAGATTCACCATGAGCTTGACTCTGCTATTGAACCAGATTCTACTGGGGAGATGCCATTGACGCCGTCGAGTCCACAATTAATGGATGAATTTCAGTTGTTGCGGCCTGATGATGTGGACATGGTGCTTGGACAAGTACGTCCTACCACTTGCTTACTAAACCCATGCCCATCTTGGCTACTTAAGAAAGCCAAGGACGGGATTGGGACCTGGATCCTGGAGGTTGTCAACACCTCTCTGAGGGAGGGCCGGGTACCTGCCCCTTTAAAGGAGGCGGTAGTCCGGCCTGTCCTAAAGAAGGCATCCCTGGATCCAGAGGTGGCCGCCCATTATAGACCGGTGGCCAACATCCCGTTCTTGGGCAAGGTGTTAGAGCGGGTGGTGGCGGGACAACTCCAAGCACTCTTGGATGAAACTGACTATCTGGACCCATTTCAGTCCGGCTTCAGACCTGGGTATGGCACTGAATCTGCCTTGGTCGCCCTGTATGATGACCTGTGCAGGGAGAAAAACAGGGGGAGTGCATCCCTGTTGGTCGTCCTGGACCTCTCAGCGGCTTTCGATACCATCGACCATGGTATCCTTCTGAATAGGCTTGTGGGATTGGGGGTCGGAGGCACTGCTTTGCAGTGGTTCCGCTCCTATCTCAATGGCCGGTTCCAGAAGGTGGTGCTGGGGGACTATGGCTCTGCGCCATGGCAGTTATGCCATGGAGTTCCGCAGGGGTCCATTTTGTCCCCTTTGCTATTTAACATCTACATGAAACCGCTGGGAGAGGTCATCAGGAGGTGTGGGCTGCAGAATCATCAGTACGCTGATGATACCCAGCTCTACCTCTCATTTTCCACCAATCCAGGTGAGGCAGTGACTGTGCTGAACCTGTGCCTGGCCGAGGTAATGGGCTGGATGAGGGCCAATAAACTGAAGCTCAATCCAGACAAGACAGAGGTCCTGTTGGTGGGTGGCTCGGGCCTCAGGATGGGGGACTTGGGCCTGGTCCTAAATGGGGTTGCACTCCCTCTGAGGGACAGGGTTCGCAGCTTGGGAATGCTCCTCGACCCTGAGCTGTCTCTAGAAGCTCAGGTGACGGTGGTGGCAAGGAGCGCCTTCCTTCAGCTTCGGCTGATATATCAGCTGCGTCCCTTCCTGGAGAACGACTGCCTGGCGACAGTGACACACGTGCTGGTAACTTCCCGATTAGATTTCTGTAATGCGCTCTACGTGGGGCTACCCTTGAAGATGGTCCGGATACTTCAATTGATGCAGAATAGAGCTGCCAGTTTGCTGACGGGGACTGGACATTGTTCTCATATAACCCCAGTTCTCCGTCAGCTCCACTGGCTCCCGATTGAAGTCTGGGCACAATTCAAGGTTTTGGTTATGACCTGTAAAGCCCTAAACGGCTTGGGACCTGGATATCTAAACACTTGCGTCCATATATGTCCTCCCGCCCCTTGAGATCAGCAATGGATGCCCTTCTCCGGGAACCCTCTGTGTATTAGGAGGGTGAGTACCCGGAGGAGGGCTTTCTCTGCGGTGGCTCCCCATCTATGGAATGCGCTCCCCAGAGAGGTCCGCCTGGCGCCGTCATTATTTGTTTTTCGGCGCCAGGCTAAGACCTTTTTATTTAAAACTTATTTTAAATACTAAATTATTGTATTTATTATTTACTAATTATTTTAGTAATTAAAATACTAAATTTAGTATTATTTTAAATACTAAATTATTTATTAGGATTTTAAAATTAGCCGAGAATGCACCGGGGTTTTTTTTTTTTAATTCTTTTAAATTGTTATATTGTTATTGTTTATGTATGTTTTTTTGTATTTTTTTATGAGCCTCCCCGAGGCTTTGTTGCGATGGGGGCGGCATAGAAATGTTTTAAATAAATAAATAAATAAATAAATGTCCATTTCAGAAGACAATTGCTTCTTCCACAATGACGTAGCTGCTGTCAGGACCAGCAGCAGCAGCAGTGAAGGCCTGGCCAAAGCCATGGGGATCAGCAGTGAGGGCTCTCTGGAGAGCAACGAGGTGGGTGTACTGTAAGTCAGGGAGGGTCTGGTCATCTCTGCCCCGGATTCTCTGACATCGATCACTGCTGGGTAGTGCAGTTTCTCCTGTCAATAAAGTAACTGGATGTATATTCTGGGTGTGGAAGAGGAACAGCCCTGATAGACTTTAGATAAGCTGGAGCCCTCTAGGATTCTGTTTCAGTCTCAGGATGTAGGATGGAAATGTGGCACCTTTGGAACAGTGTGGACCTGATGGTGTTTGGGTCTCAGTGTTTGGGCCTTCTGGTTCTTCAGCAGTGGAACTTGCATGGGCTGGGGTGAGGCCTCCTGCTTGCTCTTCCGGCAGGATATCCAAGTGACTTGATACTTGGTCCCTCGGAGAGCGGAGCCTCACCCAGCCTCATTTCAAAGCAATGGCGAGAGAGGCGCATTCACAAAGCTCCAGTTCTGTGAGCCCTCTTTGTAATTACTAGCAGCTGATTCCCTCTTCAAGGTCAGAAGAAATGTGGAAAGCTGTTGGTACATACCTGCTGTATGTCCCATAGAAGAGAGAAGTAGGACTGATTTCCAAGAGGAGAGGAGCTTGCAGCCTAGTCTCTAACAAACAGGCACAAGCTTTTGAGTCAGGAAGCAATTTGTATTTCATTTGCTGACATGGGCGGCTCCTACACTGGCAGCTCAATATATGAAAAGAGATTGGTGCCCGAGGTAGTGTGAAAGGTTATTTTTCTTCGTGTGGCTGATCTGTGATGGTTCTCATGTGGAAACCATCCAATAATGAGCTTGCAGTATGAGTGCTGTAGTATAGGCACATGTCAGGCATACATCCATTTCCTCAGAAATCTCACAGCCTGGCAAGATGGAACAGTGTCGTCGTCCTCCAACTGGGAGCAGGCACCGGACCTTGCAGGAACAGTGGTTTGCCTGAGGCCTGCTGGCTGAGGTGACCTGCAGAATTTCTATTTCATTTGTCTGCTTATTATCACCTCAAATCGGAAGAATCCCAAAGGAATTGCTAGCTGTACTATTCAGTTTGACCCAGAGACAGTGTTCTTCAATGTCTTGTTCTGAAGCAATCTCTGTCTCAGTGCAGGCTGCAGTTTAAACGCAAATAAAAGCCTGAGATATGCCTGGTATAGATAAGATTGCATAGCTTAAGGTCATGGCGGTCCCGTGTTGTAAAAATGATTGCCATTTTACTGCCTGCAAGTACACCCATCAGGTGTCTTATCAGAGACAAGTAAAACTAAGTCTGATGCATATATGCTAGGCAGATTTATGCTTTGAGGAGTGCAGTGGTTGGCAGTAGTCGTTGTGTAATTGTTCTGTGTTTTTTGTACGTGGGCATTGCATTTTGATTTATACAGTAGGATATGCATCATCCTTTATTTTCATTTTGCTGTACTCTTCGAACAAGTGTTCCTTCCCTTTCCCCCCTATTTGTGTTGGATTTACTGAATTGTGATTTATGCATGTGAATCAAAAAACCTAAAATCTGAAAGCAAAATGTTTGTTTTTGCTGTTTGGTTGCTTTTAAGAAATGTATTTTGATTACTGTTGTAAGCTGCACAGAGACCCTTGTAGGAATAGCTGGTGGCATGCAAGTGCATGCGTGCATAACGGAATGGAAGCGTATCTTCTTGTCTTCCAAACCAGAAGATCTATAAGCAGCTGTTAAAACAGCAGCTATAACTAAACCACCCCCTGCCCAGGTCAGTTCAGTTCAGCAGCAATTATTAGATTGCTGTAGGCTTCCGAGGGTAGTGAAGTAAGTTGTTCAATCCATTACACTGAACACTTCCAAGCAGTGACGTTTTGAGCCCCAATGACACATACTCAGACTGATGCTGATCTGTCAGACCTGAGTGTTCTTCCCCAAAGGATCCGGACATCTGCATTTAGGAGCAGTCTGCACAAGTTTCTGAGCAGACTTCCAGATATTGGCGTCCCTGATGCTCACGTCACGAAAGGTTGGCGATGCCCTTGCTTCCCGTTGGGGTCCCCGTTGCCATTCCTGTGGTCACCTAGTTGCACGTTCCCTTTCCTCACGTTTGTCTTTCGCAGGATTCAGACCACGCAGCGAATGTCCCCAGTCGAAAGCATGCCAGGAGCCACGTGAAGGCTAAGAGCCGCCACAGCCACAGCGACAGCCACTGGTCTTACAGATCCAGGACATCGAACCAGCACTGCAACCCCTGCAGTGCAGAGACGCCTCCTTACACTGGGCCCCAGGTATCCTCGGGGGGGCTGTGGGAGGATGTTTGGGGAGGAGCAAATGTAAGGGCAGTCCCTGCACTTTAGAGCCAGCGCCTGTGAACCTGTGATGGGGGGAGCAGAGTGAAGCTGAGGCCAGAGCTGTCTTTCATGGGACAGAACAGTGAGGGCCAGTTGCTGGTTAGTACTCGGCATGGCAGTGGGTGTCACTGCTGGTTTGCTCTAAACGCTACCGAACCCAGAGAAGTCCATCTTGATGGGTCTTTAAAGTTTCACCTGAGTTCTTTCAAGGACCTCAGAGGAGCATACAGCTCCCCACTCTCCCCCGTCCCCAACAATCATGTGACATAAACTTGTGGGTATATGATGGGTTCAGCTGCATGGGAGAGGAAGGCTTTGAATATGGCTTTCCCCAGTTCTGGTCCAGCTATCTAACTGGGTGCATCACACTGGCTTTGCAAAGGAGGTGCTCCAGTTGGGCAGCCTCTGAGTTCACAGGATGCTGATTGTGCTTGCAGGCTTCGGTGGGCATGACCACTTCTTCCACTTGGCCTTGAGCTGCATTCCTCCCTTTCTCTGTTTGTTTGCTGTGCCGGCTGCAGGATCTCGCCACCTTCCTAGAACAGATTGGGTGCCTGAAGTACCTGCAAGTATTTGAGGAGCAAGATGTTGACCTTCGTATCTTCCTCACCCTAACAGAGAGCGACTTGAAAGAGATTGGCATCACGTGAGTTGCTGGCAGCCCATGCACCTAATTCCTTAGCTATGGCATAGCTTTTTTTCAAATCCCTCTGTTCTTGCCACCTGAGACTTGAGCACTTCCTCACTACGATCAGTGAAGACGTGCCCACGTGGCATAAACCAGCGCTCCCAGTTGGTCGACTTGAAATACAGAAATCTTCTGAGAGCCCTTTCATCCAGCACTGTATTGCTGCACACAAGCCCTGTGAACTCTGTCATTGCTAATAGATTTGGGGTCCCTGTTTGCCCAAGTGCCTGTGGATTGTTTATCCTTTATTTAATTTATTTATTGGATTTATATCCTACCTTTTTCTGGTAAAGAACTCACAGTGGCTTACATCGCTCTCTTCCTGCTCTCAGTCTTGTCCCCACCACAACCACGCTGTGAGGTAGGCTGGGCTGCGTGTCTGTGCCGGACCGAAAGTCACCCAGGTGGCTCCATGGCTGAGCAGATCGCCTGAGCCCCAGTCCCACGCTCGTAACCACTACACCACACTGTGCCTCAGTGTTCTGCCACTGCCTTTCCAAATTTATCATAGCAGTGCATACGCCTAGAAATGTTGTTCTGTTTCGTGCGGTTTGCTTCCTTTGACCTGTTGGTCATGTGTATGTACAGTATTACAGCGTGTACTGTAATGTTTATGGCTACTGTTTTTAGTCCATGGTGCTTCCAGTGTCCAGGCCAGTGCTGCACGCCGTAATGGTGGCATGCCACTTCCCGTCAGAGATTGGATCAGGGAAGTTGCTGTATCAGGGAAACCCAGGCAGGAGGATGCTCTTGCCGTCTTGCCCTTCTTGTGGGTTTCCACCAGGCAGTCAGGTGGCTCCTGTGTGAACAGAATCCCGGCTGGATTTGACCTTTGGTCTGATCCAACATACGTAGCTCTTAAGTGCTCAATACTTGTGCAGCCTCACAATGTGATTTTCCCAGGCAGAGTTGCAGGACCAATAGCACCTCTCACCTGTGACGGTCAGAATAAACAGTGCAACCTAAGGGAGTGTGTATGTGGGTTTGCAAAATTTAGCGTTTCATGGTCTTAAAAAAAAAAAAAACACACATCTCTCTGAAACTTCCGGTGCACCTGCGATTTTTTTGTGCAGACCCCCTTCTCACCAGCAAAAGCGGGCATGTCCAGCAAACAGATGTCTTTGTCCTTGCCTGCCTTGTTTCTTAGTGAGAGGTGGGGGCAACAAGATGACCGGGCACTGTGCTTCTTGACACTTCCTCTTTTTCCTGTAGCCTCTTTGGGCCAAAGAGGAAGATGACCTCTGCTATCGCCCGATGGCATAGCAGTGCCCAGCCTCCCAACGATGCTCTCGAGCTGGCCTATGCTGATCGACTGGAGGCAGAAATGCAGGAACTGGCCATTCAGCTCCACAAGGTAGGCCTTTGAGAAGGCTCTGCCTCTGGCCAAGTTGGGGTGCCTTTGCGCTTGTCTGGTGCCTTGTGAGACAGGTACTCCTTTGAACATACAGGTAAGAGTCACACATGGAAGGGGTAGGCTTGGAAGCAGTCTAGCAATCTGGGCCTTCTTTTCCCTTGGCAAGCTGGCAGGGTTTTTTCCTCAACTTTGCTATGCCGTGAAATTCTGGAACTGCTGCTGCTGCCTGCCACAGGAAGGCATAGCATCCTCGCGGACCACTCTGGCACTCGCCTCTTAGCCACATTGCCCTGTTCCCTTGCAGAAGTGTGAAGCGGTGGAAGGGCTGAAGGGGCAGGTGTCCCAAGAGCAGGAGCTGCGCGCCGTTGTCGAGAGCTGCCTGATGGAGCAGGATGTGGCTTGGAGCAATGCCCAGGCGAAACTCCGAGAGGTGCAGGCCATCACCAGAAGTGCTGGGATTCTCCTAGAACAAATGCAGTGAGTTTTCCCCACGAAAGTCAAACCTTGTTCACTTTGAGTCCCTGCCTAGCCCGCTCTACCCTGTAAGTTCTGGTGCTGCTTGCAGCAAAATCAGGAAGAGACAGCCCAGGGCTGCCCTTGCTAACCAAGCCTCGTGGCCTGGTGCCTGGAAATGCACCCTCCTCACTCAGGCTTTACTGTGATTGCCTAATGTAGGAACGGCTGCTGCCTCCTTGTTCTTTTTATTGAAATTAAGCAGTTATATGCATGTAAACCATCATTCTGCAAAAGCACTGTAAAACGGAACACTGGTTGCTAAGAAGAGTTGACTTTGTTTAATAAAAAAAACTGATGTTTCTAACAGCTGTAACTACAATTACTTGCTTAGGAAAACCTCAGATTTTTCATAGAAGCAGCTGAAGATGGTTTCTAGTCATCAAGGAGGGCTTCATCCCTATGTACCTCCTCAACTGTAGGATCACCAGACTAAATTAGGCAAAATTGTAAACATGGCTGAATTCTTCAAACTGGATATAAAGTATATAATTTTTACGGGCTGCATAAATCTACTTTTACAAGGTACAAGATTTACACCATTGGTACATCCCTGGAATTAAGCAGTGTAGTGGGGATTTTCAGGGCATAAATTTCCTTCTATTTTCTAATCCTAAACATGACTCTTTCCTTCAGTTTTTTCGTAGCTGCCCAGCTCTGAAACTACATTTTTCTGAGGATTATTTTGCCATGGTTTTGACAGGCCCCTCTCCTGGTCACCTGTGCTCTACTTTCTATGTCATTTTTAATACTTTTCGCATCAGCCCGCTGACAGTATTTTGGTTTCTGTACTAGGGCCTGTCAAGCAGAACTCTCTTCCCGAATGCATCAAGAATGTGCAGCTGGCCAGTTTTTGGAGGTGAAAGCACAGCTGGCAGCCGGTGAGTGGGAGAGCTAATAAATTCTAAAAGGGAGGCCCATGAAGGCAGCATCAGTGAGAATGCGGTTAGTGGGATGTATGCAGGGAGTCTCAGAGTAATGCAAATGCAGGCAAACACTGATGGGAACGGGACATGGCTGAGCTACTGAGCAGCTATCAGAAATTCCTGTTTAATTTTTTTTCCAGGGAAGTAATGACTGGGAACAATTACCGTTTTACTGTTGGGAACCACAGAATTGAATATAAAGACATTAGCTAGCCCACATGATCCACTTCCCAGGGAATTTAATTAAGATGCTCATTCAGCCTTCTAGATAAAGCCCACAAAAGTTACAAGCTGTCTGCTGCTGTAGTTGTTGCTTTACAAGTCTGCTGCGGGCTGGCACTGGAAGAATAAATAAATAAATCCATTCCTCTAGCACCAGCAACCCCGTTACCTTTCTGTGTTGGGCATGGAGAAGCAAAGTTCTGCCACACCACACTATTTATTCCTGTGCGTGTGATTCTTTATCGTTTTTCAGTTGCAAGGTAGTACTTACGCTCATCCCTCCTCTGGTGAGTGACTAGAATTAGGTGACTAGAAAATGGCATTAGCAAGGTGTTTAAAAATCTTCTATGTGATAGTTGTGGCAGATGACAGCATTTAGAATGACCAACTTTCTTAAGATGGTGACTTTTGTCTTCAGTTTTAGAAGTGAATGTCACAACACAGTGTTTTTCTCAGTATAATCAGCCTAAAAAGGTGGCACCTACCACAAGAGTTCTTGTTCTGGCTGGTCAATTCATCATGTGTTGCAACTTTACTTTTTACTGAACCTTTGTGAAGTCTGTTCTGTTCTCCAGAGGCAAGCTACTTTGCTGCACGCTCATTATGTAGCCTAAATCCCACTGTACTGCTAAAATAGGAAAGAAATCTACAGCTCCCAGCATGCCCCAGCCAGGGAGTTGTAGGCCCCTTTTCTGTTTAAATTTGCATAGGATTGTGCCCGAAGGAGATTTTTCACATCCTTCTGCATTTCCTGAGCCAGAGGGGCCTCCCGCTTTATCTCCTTTAATATTTTGGAACCTGCCCTCATCCATATTTCCCCTCCCGCTCCACCTACATTGAGAGACTCTTCCAGGCTGCAAGAGCGGAATGCCCCAATCTACTTCCAAGGTTTGAGAGGGGGAACTGACTTCATAGAACATACTTTCTTTCGAGGCCAGTTATACTCTACTCATCCCCTTTGCCTTAAATCTTTTTCATGGGTCCCGAATTTGTCCATATGAAAAATACTTGGACTTCACAGCTTCTTGTTGTTGAAAGTAAAACTATGGCAGCTGTTTGTCTGACTACACCACAGTTCCAGCATGGGAAATCTATTGGGGCCTGATTCAGCCAGATCTCCCAGGGGGCGGTCCTTGTTTCAACACCTTTTCCTGTTGCCTCTTCATTACTGCTGTTGTCACCGCATGTACAGCTAGTTAGCGGTAGGGTGGATAGTGCTGATTTTTATTTATTTCCTGCTAATTCTTTCCTTGTCCTAGGCTCCGAGGGATGGCCCTCTGCCTTGAAGGTCCTTAGCTTGCCTGAACTGTCAGCTCTTCTGGAGGAGTATATGGGAGAAATGGGTAAGGTTAACAGCCATCAAATGCTTACATCCCCATTGCTTGGCCAGGAAACCGCACTTTAGAGATGGCAGCAGCATGCGATGGCTGTGAAGTACCACTAGGTGAAATAATGGAAAAGATGGCAGGCCTCAGCTTCCTTTCCCCTGTTCAAGATCTGCTCTGTTCCCTTGATGCGTGTGGTGACTTGGCTCATCTGTGTCTCTAGGGAAAGCCCTTCGTTCTGTCAGCCTTAATCTTGAGGGGCTGCAGAGTCCACAGAAGGGCAAGCCAGCCCAGAAGCAGCCCTAGCAGTGGAGGAAGGTGAGTGACAGAGCACTGCTGAACCAGCTCTGTGTCTTTGTCTGTCTGTCGGTGAGGCGACCAGTGCAACTGGAAAGCAGGCTGATAGTACGCTGCACATCACCCATCTCCCTCGGCCCTTCAAGCCCTGCCAGTGCGCTTCCCGGGGTTTCCCATTTGACCTTTCCGGGAAACAGAATTACTAAATGTACCTTTACAGGGACCCAGCAAGCTCTTACATTTTTGTGCTAATGGAAGCGGTCTGTAAATGTTTGTGACTGGAGCAACTCAGGCATTCATGCTTCCTGTTTCTCTGGCTGTCACCATCCTCTGCAGAGATTCTGACGTCGGGTGAGCTTTCCACCCAGAAGCTGTGTTTGCCTGGGAGAGTGAGCGCATGTGGAAAATGAACCGACTGCACAGGCCGTCTGTAGCAAGAGCCGCTGGTACCCGTCCCAAGAGAGGCGGTGCGACATCATGTGGAAGGGAGCCCTATCCGGATGAAGCGGAGGCCCGGTCTCTGATGGAGCGTGGGCCAGATCCTCGTCCGAAGCCTGGAGAGCACAGGTCAGAGCTTCCATGCAGGCAACTTGATGTTGCTTATCACTGGCCATGGACAGTGTGTTTGGTATGTGTTAGAGATCCAGCATCTCTTTCTCTTCATCTCCCCCTTCCCTGTGTTCACATGAAGGATTGTGGCAATTCCGGCCTTGTGGCTGAGGTCTTCATCCCCTTTTTTGGGGGTGACCAGTTTAGAATTGCAGCTGACCTACTGCGGGCCCTCCCCGTTTCTGTCTAGTGATGTTGAGATTGATTGTGTAACTGAGCAATCATTGCAGTGGTGGTGGGGGGGGGTCATTATTAAAACCCACAGTACTTAGAAGCAAGCATCTCCCCCCACACACACCCTCCCTTTTATTCTGAATGCTGAAGTGATTGCTTATTGAAGGTGCCGCCTTTTGCCCTGAGCAAAAAGGGGCTTCTAGCAGACCACTTGCTCCTTTTGGTCTCCAGTGTTACAAATACAGTCCTCCTGCTATTGGCACAGACATGAAATCGTAAACCCTTTTGCTGAGTTACTTTGAGACTCATGCTTTGGCTGTGGTGTCCTTCTGTAATGGCCCTAATCCTAGAACTTTGAAGTATTCCTTTTGAAGCCTTTCCCAGTGGTGGGGCACATGTAGCTGAACATCTGGAGGGCCACAGCTCCTGCCATTCCACTTCTTTGACCAGGGCTGAGGCGAGTTGGAGTCCAACTACACTGGGGGAGCCAGAGGTCTTCCCACCTCTGGGCTAGCCTGATTCTTTGGAGGGGTAACATTTAGGAGCAAGATGAACCCTTTTTGTTTCTCCAGTTTGCTTTTGATCGATGGTGCATGCAGCCAAAGGGAGTCCAAACTCACATGCCTGTGCCTTGCCTCATTTCACAGCTGTGTTTAAGATGAACCAGTTGTGTAGCACATCAATTAGGCAAGCGTGTGCTTGCTACAGGGTAGGGCGTCTTAGGTGATAGGCAGCTGATGCAGGGAAGGGAATGCAGTCCTGTTGCCTAAAGAAAAGTATACACCACAGTAGCATCAGGGTGCTTGCTTCTGTTAAGTGCCTGCATTGGTCCAGCAGGACGGACTCTCCCCTGATCACCCGTGATAATGCAGTCTTTAAACCTCGTGTGGCCTTTTACAGAAGTCTCAGCAAAAGGAGACTGGTCTGGTGTGAAATCGACTTGGTTGGTAAAATATTTTAAACAAGTCTTTTAATGTGATGTTTAAATTAGCTGCCTTCAGTTGTACATAAGGTGCAAGATGAATATTTTAAATACAAATACACTAAACCCATTGCCAGACTGTACGCTTGCCAACTGTAGCTGTATTGAGGAGCTCAGCTGTTTTCACCATACAAAAGAGAATTCTTTCCTGTCTGAAATCAGCCTTCCCTCATCTGATGCTTTTGACTACGTAAATTTCCACCAGCCCGGCAACCATGATCAAGTGCCATGGAATTATGGGCCCTGTGGACCATAGCAGCTGGAGGGAAGAGGGTACTAATCGTAAGGGTGGCTGCACTAGAGGTTGTGAGAAATGAGGGTTCTGGGCGACTTCTCTGTCCTGCCATGCTAGTCCCTGTACAAGAAATGGTTGCGCTGTGCCCAGGGCAGTCTGAGGAGCTGCAGCTCAGGCACTGATTGGCCACTTTATTTGACGCTTTTGAGAACTAGGGATTGTGGCTATTTATGTTTCAAAATTGCAATCAGTTTTTGACATCCTGCTCTGGAGCAACTGTTCTTTCAGACAAGTCCACAGTGCGTGGGGAGCCACCTCTCCCAGCTGGTGCCTCCTGATGTGTTGGCCTTTCTGGCTGGTGGAGACGGGAGTTGCAGCCCCTGCGCATCAGGGATGAAGCAGCCCCCTGCAAGGGCCTCTTTTTCCCTATTCAGGGCCTCCTTGCAGCAGTTGAGGCAATCTGTGCCCTTGCCTTTCCCTGTCTCGGTTTCTTCTTGCAGACTAACTTTGGTGACCATATTTTAACATTCACTCTTCTGTGAAATAAACTACTTTGACCCTTAACTGGTGGTGGTGCTTGTGAATGCCTTCCGTCTGTGTGCAGTCCAGGTCTTTGCACTGGGCTGAACAGCATGATGTTGCTGCCACCCCACATCATTCCGGTAAGATGTGCAAGAAGTGGATCCTGTTATGATGGTTTCATGACCTTCCGATCCTCTTCTTAAGAGCTACCACATTAAATAGGAATAGCCGTGCAGTGGCATATAAAGTATAAATCCCCTCTTTCGGGGACTCAGAATCATGTAGTCCATTCCTGTGCTAGAACTAAAGGCTATTTGTGGAAGAACCAGACCACATAATTACCCATGTTTATGTTGTTGTTACACCTGCCACCTAGAAGAACGACCAAAATTCGTTGAACCCCCATCCAGGTGGGTGGATCAGATCCATTTCGCTAAGTAGCGAGTGTTCCCTCCCCTCTGTTTGGCTACAGCTGCAGTGCCATAGCACATACTCTGAAGACAGGCAGAGTCTGTGCGGAGGAAAGAGAAGCCTGAAAGCAGGTTCCAGGGCATGGTAACAGCTCTGCTTGCCCAGTGCCTTCCCCCATAGCCTCCGTTAGAGCTGTGAAGGGGCTGGGCCACTGACAGGCCTTCCGGCTGGCCCTCCACTCTCGGTGCCATAGAGAAGCATTTCTTTTGCTCACATTCTTAAATGTGGAAATGCGTGTGAGCGCCACCTTCCTCCATCAAATGCTCTGTCCAAAGGACCTTGCCAGCCTAGGCTGCCTGTGCTCGGACTTCGCTTTCCAAACGTTTGTCTCCCTTAATGTAAACTGAAAGGACACCTGCCCACTCGACTGGGGTTCTCCGTGGCACAGTAAGCAGACCTCTCCATTGTACTTGCAACGTCCCCTTTTAATGCTTTCTCCCAGCATCCCGTCTTCCCCAGGCTGCTGAAGTGACCGGGCTGTGCTCTCTGAGCAACAGTGATGCCTCTTCATGCCACCCAGCATGATAAACGGAGCCAGTGGTTGATCAGGGGAAGTGACGTTTTCCCTGGGCGCCCGGGTCTCACCTAGCCATTCAAGCCCAGTGGCAGCAAGATGAATGGCACCTGCCCTCACCCTAACGGGTTAACTGAGGCACAGCTGAGAATGTGCAGACCATGCAGAGGGCATTTTGCACCCCCTGGCAGTTGCCCTCGGACAAGGCGGGCAGCACAAGCCCTTTCAGGGTCTCACCTTCTGAGGAAGTAGGGGAAATAGCCACTTCTGCACAGAAGACTGCCTAGGAATCGAAGAAGGGACGCCAGTATCCGTTAGATGCAAAGTCCATCTGCAGCTGCTCTCATGAGGACCGTGATGGTTCGGGCATGCAGGAAATTTCCCCAAAGTGAGCAGTGTACTTCTGCAACTGAGATTTTTGCTTTTCGGGGAACATGGAGCATGACGGTCCTGCAGTGCAGCGGTGGGAAACGCAACAGTGCATGCGAGCCCCTGCCTCCCACAGAGTCCGTGGCCTCTTGTGAGCTTCACCTTACCTGTATCAACTGGGCTCCACAGTTGGCATTCATAGCAGGAAGCAGTCCAGAGCCCCAGAACAAAGCCAGATGCAGAGGTGCTCACTCTCTGGCTTCATGCTTCCTGTTGCATTTTCAGTTCTATCCGCTGGTGTCTGTATCTGTTCATCTCAGCTCAGAAGACTGAAAGCCTCTGCCAGAGGTTTGATGGCAGGCTTCCTCTCTTATGGTTAAAATGTGAACCTGGCTAGAGATTGCTTTCAGACAGTAAAGACCCTTCCTTGGTCTCCGGTTATGTTAATTTGCCCTCCCAAAGCTAAACCATGAGCCGATTTGGGCATATGATGCACACACCTCTGTGGAACACCTGGATTCTTTTTGCAGAATATTCTACAGGTAAGGTAATCCCTCCCCCAGGCTCCCCGCAGTTCCCAATGTCTCTGGTTTGCCATTCTGGTGCTCCTGGTCAGGAAGGCCGACTTTCATCTAACCCTTGTTACAGTGTCCACTTTGGCCTTCCAACAGCTGTGAACGTAGCCACTGTCGGTGACTCTCATCCTGCCTGTGCCTGCATTGCTTTGCGGGGTTTCTCCTCTCCTCACTGGGTGCAGCAGAGGTGGTCCAGTTTCCAGAGCTGCCATTTCTTCTTCATTTCAGATTTTACCTGGGAAAAAAGTTGCGTATTTCTGCCAGAACCCTAGAGAATTCAGACATATGCGTAGTACAAGCAAAAAGAAGCCCTTATAGATACAAGATTATAGCATGAACTTTGATATTTAATTTTGTCCACTATTCATTGGTTCTAGGATTTCAAATGTGAACTGGAATCACAGTTTGACTGACTAAGTGTGCATTGAAAAGGGGAAGGAATTGCAACCCTTGCAAAAGAATGTAGGCCAATGTTATCTCCTTGTTTCAGATGGGATGAAGACAACTGAGGTGGGGGGGTGTCACCCTTGAGAGGGAACTTTTGTGCTAAGGACTCCGTGAGTCATAGCTGATTCTCCTTGCCATCTTCCTTGAGAATAAAGTGAAGGAGCTAAAGGGCATGAAAAATAGGATGTATTTGCATTCTGTGATTTATCTTCTAGGCACTTGCATCTCTCCCCTGTTGGGAAATGCAGGAGCTCTAGCAAATACATGCATACTTTTTTCTCCCCCCTTTTTTCAAAGGCATCTCCAGAGCTTATCTTTTATTCATGTTATTTCTTGACTGCCCGACAGCTGAAACTCCCTGGGTGGTTCACAAATTTGCCAGGGCCCAAGTATCAGAAAAGATCCTCTCTGGTTTAAAAGTAGCAAATAGCAACATTTTGTTTCTGGCCCAGACTTGAGCCTGGTCCAAGCAACCCAACTCTGTAGGGTTGGCATCACTCTCAGAGTTTTGTGGCCAGTGAGCACATTCAGTCCTCACTGGCCTATTGTGGGGTCCACCCCCCCCTTAGGTATTTTTGCCCTGTATATATTGGAGTGGCCCTCACAGTTCAAATGTCAAAAAAGGGGGATTTACATACATGAGTGTGTGACTCACACATATGCATGTGTGAAGCAGCTTTGCAGACACATCGCTGCACAACCAGTTCCATCATCCACACCATATTGCAGATCATGGGAAACTCAAGACACTTCTGTGGCCGGGGCACGGGCATCCACTGGCCCCGAGCAATTAGTGAGGTGAGATCCCCTCATCACTCCAAGCTCTTGGACATCTCTAGCACTTGCTCCCCATGTAAAAGTGGGGATACTTTGTAGAGCAGATGCAGTGCAGGGTTCCTTGGGATTAGCACAGACTTGAAAACAGCTGGATGGCCGAGGGTGCTGGGATCACCTCTGGAGAGGCCTTACTTACCTCCTTATTTGCAAAGCAGTACAATACAGCGACCAAGAATCCCTGCAGGAGAGAGGAGGAAACACAGAGTGAGATTCCAATCCCAGGCCGCTGGCTGGAGGGATGCTGAAAATGGTAGGGCTCGGTTTTGTTTACACAGCCCTAGCACCGTGCACCCTTAGAATCACAGAAACAGAGCCAGAAGGGGTTTCCTGAGCCATCTAGTCTGACCCCCAGATCCAGCTGGCTCTGCTCACAACATGCCTACCATGTGCATGTCCAACCTGTCCTTGAACACCCTCACCATTGGGGCTTCAGCCACCTCCCATGGAAGCCCATTTCATACCCTTGCGGTCCTAACTGTCAGGAAGTACTTCCTTGGTTCAAAGTCAAATCCTGCAGCCCAGCAAGCTGGGTTCAGTTGCCCATAGAAATAGGTCATGCTTCAACATAGAGGTCTCCTGTGGAAGCCCTTTTAAAGTGGGGTTGTGCACGGATTCCTTCCTCTTTGAAGGGGCTCACAACAGAACACTTGCATTATGGAGTGTACCTGTGCAGTTTATGGAGACTACAATTAAATACTGTTTAGCAAATCTATTTCTACAGCATTCCACATTCTTTGGCCCTGATCAGAGGAGTCCTCAATTTTCTCTTTATTTTCTGATCTGGGAGCCATCCACCATTTTAGCGTCCAGAACAAAGCTACATATGGGGAATAACAGCAAGTGTTTTCCAGCAGCTGAGTGGACATTGCTACCAGATGATCCATCTGGGGATGTCCCGCTGTGCTCTCTGCCAAGGGTCCCCAGAAACCTGAAGCCACCCCTGCTGGCATGACCCCTGAGATAACCTGAATACAGGCATTTCCCAATTCAATGTTTGCATTATTAATTTTAAAACTCTCTGCAGTGGTGCCCCTCTCCAATTACAGAATGTGTTCTCCACTGCAGCCCATCTGGCACCAACCTTAGTATCTTTTCAGCGCCACTTTAGGAGCATCCTCTGCTTCAGGGCATTTAATTGGTTTACTGAAGTTTTGTTAGCTGCTTAAATAGATCTTAAAGTTTACTTCAATTAAGCTATTGTAATTTTTATATATGATTCTAAACTGGTTTTTAAGTTTTAGTATGGTCACCTTTTAATGATGTTTTTAACCCTGTTTGTATTTTGATGTGTTGTTGTAAATCCCCCAGTGAGCTTCAGGTATTGGTTGGTAGAGAAATTAAATTAAAATAGACCTTGAAAAGTCTCAGCCTAAAAAGCCGTCTTAACCTGCTTCTGAAAAAAAAAACGAGAAGATTGTAAGGCTGGCCAGGTAGGTCACGGGGGGAAGTTGTTCCGTAGATTGGGGGCTGCCCTGTGGAAACACTCAACTGTGAGGGATTGTGCTGCGGAAGCAAGCGAGCAGCCGTGTTCGGAAAGTTAGAGGTTAATAGGTCCATAGAAAAGCTTCCAGAATCAAGCCTAAACAAACCTGGAAGGAGCTGAGAAAGAGGGTGAAGATGACTTTGATGTAGCGCAGGATTCCTGTGGCTTGCTCGTCAGTGGCAAAGATGAAGACCACTTCATGAATCCCAAAGAGGGGGATCAGTGTGAGTGTGGCTTTGGCTAACCTGGAAGGAGCAGCACAGAGCAGGAGGTGGGGCTGAGTCATGCCTGGGGCACAGCCTTCTTCCGGGAAGGCTGACTCAGCAGCTTTGCCGGCAGTCCGGGGATAAACTCACCGCAGTTTATAATCCGCGTAGCCCTTCTGATTGGCTCGCAGCTTGGCCAGGATCACTTTGAGGATCTGCATGAAGATCAGCAGATTGATCTAGAAGGCACAGCAGATGTGAAGCAGAGACTGTTAACAGAGCGTCCTAGTTAACCACACGCCTTGCTAACAGAAAGGAGAACTCCTAATCTACCCACCAAGTCCCACCAAGTCTGTATGCAGGCCAGCCTTTCCTAACCTCATGTCCTCTGGATGTGTTGGCCTACAACTCCTATCATGCTCGTGCCTCTGTCCATCCTCTGCAGACTCTCCAGAGATAAAGAAGAGCCACTAGTTCCTCCAGAGCCTGCAGCCATGACGAAAGCTGCAGAAAGCGGCACTTACCACCGACGCTAGCAAAATAGGGACACGAATTATCCACCAGTAAGCCATGTTCTCATTCACCCCCCAGCACCTGCAGTGCAAGAGGGAGAAAGTCACATCATTCTGCGTCCGTAACAGCAGGCAGAGGCAGTGCCCGAGAGGTCCCACTGCGCTATTGCAATGCATGCGCTGCCATGGTGGTCTGGTGCAGCCACCTTCCCCCCCTCCAATCCCTCTGGTGTGCTCACCGTGTGTGGGGCTACATCTCCCATCACCCCCAGCCAACCCAGCTAATCAATTTGTGCTTGCCGTATAAATTATACCAGTTAAGCACAGTGGCTGAAAACCATCAGGTGAACCAGAAAGGGAGCAATTCCATGCCCCCGCACTGTGGCCTGTGCCACACATGCTCGAGATTTCCTCCAGACGGGTTGTGTGGTGGAGGAACCCTCCAGAACAGATCCGCTTGGAGGACGAGGGGCTCCTGGGAAGAGCAGAGGGAGCTGCCCCATCAGGGAAGCAGGTCTCTGTTTCCGTGTGGGTGCATTCTGCCTCACCTCCATCCACCAGTCCACCGCCACCAGTGAACAGTTTCTCTAGATGGTCCTCCAGACTTCGGTCCCTGCAAGAAACTGCTCTACAGACTTTCTTTCTCCTCTACCCTCTCACTTGCTTCAGTTTCACTCCTAAGCTATGAGTCTCTGCAGCCACGAGACAAGTCCTTTTGAGTTCAGAACCCACTGGCTGCCTCTCCTGTCCTCCACACCATTTATAATCTTTGTCAGTCACCATCCCGCCTCTTTTTGTGGCTGACTTTTGTGGCCCGTTTCTGCCAGAATCCCTAAGCTTGGCTTCCTCCCCCTTAAGACAGGAATGGAAAACCTGTAGCCCAAGACCCAATTTCAGAGTTCACTACAAGCTACCCATGCTTGGCCAGGAGTGATCTGTTCCTCCCCCAGCAGCTACCTGCGCAGAGAAGAAGAGGGGAAGAAAAGAGGGGTCAGGAGAGAAAAGGAGAAAACCCCAACCCGGCTCACTTTTGCTTCTGGCCCTGCCAATCACCGCCATGTGCTCCTGCCTCAGAGTAGCCAGCGTTGGGCACCTGCCAAGGACCCACCCCCAGCGGGGGTCCACTGGCAAGAGCCCCCTAGATGTGCTTCTCCTTTTCCCCACTGCAAGTGGCTTGTTTAAGGTCTTGCCCAAGAGCCCCCAAAGAGCTGGAGTGTGCATCGACTCCGCTGAGAGATGGCCACCGTGGGAACGTGGCCCTGAACAAAAGAAGGCCGACCCTGTCCGAGTGTAAGAGGCTCCCCCGCAGCGAGCATCACACTTACTCTGCGTTCTCCTTCAGGTACTTGGCGGCCATCCACGGCACCACAAAGGCCACAGGAGTCCCTGCAAATCATGAACATGCTGCTGAAAAGCAGTCCTGCCCTGCGGTCAAGAAGCAAGTCAGCTCCACTCCCTGGCATGACCGACAGATAGGGCAGTGGTTGTGCTGTTTTGTTTTGTTTTAATGCACTGAGCCCAGCAAACTTCTTCCCAAAGGCAAGATGCTGCCTTCTTTATGCCCATAGCATCCGTCCCAAGTTACGAAGGGAAAATCAAGAACAAAGCAAGTCCTGCACTGGTGTGCAAAGTAAGGATTTGCACAAGACAACATATGTGGCGTTGTTTCTGCTTCGCAGTTCGCAACACTCCCCCAAGGTTGCCCCCAAAAGCTTGAGGACCCCCACTGGACAAGGCATGGGGGCTTGAAGGGAAGGGTGATTCTAGAGTGAGGAAATGGTTATACCCCCTTCCCTCAGACACTGCAGCAGTTTTCACAAGCCATCCTGGAAAAAAGCATGCATTGAACAAAATGCCACTTGGCCCCAAGCTTAACAAGAAAGTGCCCTTTTCCTTCTTCAATGCCTCCTTACCCCAGCCCAGGTACAGGTAAAAGGTGTAGTAATTCTTCTCGGAAAACACAGCACCAATCAGAAGCTTGTACAGGTAGACCGCCTCCACCAGAAACCAATAATGGTTGGCCAGAATACAGTACTGCATCATTACCTGAGCCACTCGGCAACCAATGGCAGCCTAAGAAAAAGAGAAGCAAGCCAAAAGAGTGTTGAGAATAAAAGAGGCCGTCATTCCTGGCCCGCTTCCCAGGGCCTGAGTGGCCCCATCTCTTTGGGTGGGATTGGTGACGCCTGGGAAGTGAGGTCTGTGGACACAGACAAGACTGCCATCTCCAGGTGTTCAGGCAGACCCTGGAACAGATAGGAATTGGAATTGCTGGGGAGGGGGGTGAGGAGCCAGTTGGGGTCCCTGACCCCCTGACTCAGCAGTGGGAGAGAAGGCCTAACCAGCTACAGAAGGGCTGGGAAGGTTGCCCAGCTCCAGAGATGCACAGCCAGACAGTGTGGCCCAGTTACTCTAGAGGATGGACCTCGGAAATGGTTTCTAGCTTGGGTTCAGCTCTGTGCATGCTACGGTGCTTCCTTGGTAGGATATTCGTTTACTGGCTGTATGTTGGATATAAAGTGTTTCTGCGAGGAAGTGGGGCAGCTCCCAACAAAGAGTAGGTGAAAGAGGCAGTGATCCGTCAGCTGCTGAACTGAAGAAGGGCCGCTGATGCCTGCCTGTATGAAGCACAGAAACAGTCGGCATTCTGCGGAGTGCATTTCAGTGGCCTACAATCTTTTATAAGCGTACCTTGCAGAGACAACATAACATTGGACTTATGGGGAGCCTTCATACACTGAAAGCCTTGGTGTGGGGCTCTGGCACTAAGGGCACAATCCCCGGCGTCACTGGGGTGGGGGAGGCACACAGGAGCCAAGGCCCTGCCCTGCCCTGCCCTGCCCTGCCCCTTCTCAGCATGTGCTCAGGAATTGTGCCAGCACCGCAGAGAGGTGGACAAGGAGCAGGGGGGGGGGGGGGGGGGGGGGGGAGAGTGGCCAAGGCTGGGGCTGTCTACCTGTGTCCAGCCCTTTCAGTATCTCAGCTTTCTTCCCTCTCCATTTCTGCCCTTTGCCAAGACAGCTGAAAACAGACATTTAGATAAAAAGCTTGGAGTGAGGCAAGGTGACACGACAGATCACTGTTTCTGTGTCTCACTCTGGCCACTGAATCACGGAAGAGTGGACTTCAGAAGACCCCTGAGGCCATCTAAGCCACCCTCCTGCTCAATGCAGGCTCCAGGTTAAAGGAGGAATGCCTTTCCCCACTGGTACCTGTTTTATGTTTGGAACCCCTGGTGTGTGGCACCTGACAAAATCCTGGTATTCATGGATTTGTGCAAAATGCATTAGAACATAATCCTGCTCTGTATGCTGATTATCTTCTACTGCTTGTTTTGGAAATGCATTTGTCCATTCCAGTTTCAATGCCGGTGCTGATATTTTGTGAACATGTATCTGGTAATTCTATTAGCAGGTTAACGTTGGAACTCATGTCTGCTGGAGATAATATACACCATAGTTCGTTACCTAATTGGCAGCTTAGACTATGTGCTGAATCTGCTACCTATTTGGGAATACTTCTTCCAAGAGAAATATCACAAATGATTAAGTTAAATTTGAGTAAGTTGATTAATGAGATTGCGGGAGACAGTGACAGATGGGTCTCTAGAAAGTTAAGTCTAGAAGGTAAATGCACTTAAAGCAAATGTAATACCACAGATAGTTTATGTTTGAATGTTTGTTTTATGTTTCCTTTATTTATAGCTCACAAGTATTTCCAGAAGCTTAATTTTTGTTCTGTAAATGGGTTTCCACTCCACCACAGTTGTCCTTGACAAGGATCAAAGAGGGTGGATTTGAACTCTGGCCTTTTCTTATATCGTTGGGCTTATTGGTTGACTGGCACTAGATTTTGGTCTTTTCCACTTTGATTGGCAATGCGAGTTGCAGCTTCCTTTTAATTTGATTAAATCCTGTGATGGAAAGTTCTTTAATACTCAAGGATAAATATATTCTTTTGAATTACTGTCCACCCTGCCATCTCTTGGCATTCAACACAAGGTCAATGTAAATGGATTTTCCATGTCCTTTTGATAGCTAAAAGGGTAATATTACAAAATGGAAAGAGAAATGGCCACTTGCAGTGTGGCCTTTAGGAGTAATCTACAAATACATGGATATTTGCAATGCCTTTGCTGAAATCTATGCATAATTCTTTTTAATAACAGAAGTATGTTGCTACGTACCGACATATAGAAATACCTAATATATATGTAATCAGATTCTTTTTAATGGTATGATTTGGGGGATTTTAGTACCTCCCAATAAAGCATTTTTAGTCTTAATAAAATGCTTACAGCATCCCTAACAGGCGGCTGTGCAGTCCACCACCTCCCTAGGTCATGGCTTCCATCGTGGTATTAGATCAAGAGTCCTGAATCTAAGGAGGTTTTCCTGATGTTCAGCTGGAATCTGGCTTTGTGTACCTTGACCCATCATTCCGTGTCCTGTAGTTTGGAGCCCTGCATGCATCTAGAGCAGGGGCAACAGTATTGTTCCTTATGAAAACCAGACCTCAGATACCGGAATAAGAGCAACTAGGTTTTCATGCCTCACTGTGTTTTGGCTAGCCAGAGGAAGTGCATGCAAAGGCCAGAGGCGCCTTCCTTAGCTGGTGGAAGTCCAATTCAGCCATGTTCCGGCTTTCAGATTTCACTAGGCACATGTATTCCTGCAGCCACAAAGGGCAGGTGTGGTGTGGTGTGGTGGTTCCAGTGTTGGACTGGGGACCCAGGAGTTCTGGGTTCCGGTCCCCACTTGGCTATGAAGCTCACGGGGTGACTTTGGGCCAGTCACTCAAAAGCAGTGTTGGCACATCTTGTAACCAATACTAAACTCAGCTGCCACACAGCCTTGGTATCAATCACTGATTGCTGTCCCACCTTCCTGCAGATTCCTGCAAGAAGAAGTTCACCTCCCTCACCATTTTATGTGCACAACAACCCTGCAAAGTAGAACATGCAGACAATACAAGACTGGCCCAAGGCCATCCAGGGAACTTCATGATGGCTGAGGATGCATTTGAATCCGGGTCTTCCCAATGCTAGCCTGACATTCTTCATCCAAAGGCTAACCTCCATTTTAGGGGACCTGTTAGGGGCCACACACCAGTTCCGGGTGAGAGCAGAAGTTAAGGGGGTCGGGAACAAATTTTAGTTTAAAGCCCTTGTTGCTAGTAACAGTCTTGGAGAAATTCGCTTTAGCCTTTGAGGATGGAGGAATACCGCACAACGTTCAGCACCGAGTGACTGGCGGTTGCTGGGAAGGGGTGGGGCTGAGAGATGGCGGCGTGACCATCCCATCCGGAAAGCCTCCAAGGCCTGAGGTCTGGCAACTCTGCTGGAACAGCCGCTCCGCACTGTCTGGTGTCGCCAACAGAGCAAGGCCTGTTGATGTTGATGCATCCCAGGATGAACTGGTGCAGATTGCACCAACTGGGCTACCACTTGGAGGGATCTTTTTAAAAACCTACTGCATTCAGAAAAACAGCAGAGCATTCAGAAGGCTGGCTAGAACCTGCACTGATGAAGTGCTGATTTTCAATCTGCAAGATGTCTGGGAAGTTTCTGACACTCAAAAGGAGTATCTCATCCCCCCATCTGTAATGGCAAGCTCCGTTCTGCCCCCTTCACAGCCACCACCTTCTGTGGGATGTGGTAAAACCCAGCCCAAGCCGGACTCTTGCACCCGTCTCTCTGGAATGGTCCTACTTGCCTCATGACTCAGCAGGGCCTCCCAGTCAGACACCTCGAAGGTCTCCCTGGCCCACATCTTCTCCAGCAGCACATCCTTCACGATCACAGAGACAGCCCGAAGCCCAAAGGAGGCAAAGAGGTTTGCATGAATATAGTTCCGAGTGCAGCGCAGCTTCCTGGGGCGGGGCGGAAAGAGTTTGCCGTTAGTTCCAATGCTGTTTAGGTTGACGACAGCGTGCGCTGCACAGTGGATGCTGCGGAGAGAAGCTCGTGCTGGTCATGCGTGCTCAGGACGGTAAGAGCCGTTGGGCACGGGAAGCGATGCCTTAGAGCAGGGACGCGGCAGCTCGCCCAGCCTGCCAGGCTCCCCAAAGGGCCCCACGTTGTCTCTCCTCCCATTCGAAAAGGGGGCAGTGGCTCTCCACAAGCTTATTTGAGGACACAAAGAGCCTTAGCCTACAATTGGTGGCGTTTTGCAATCTGCCCTTTTGGCTTCAGCCCTGCCTGCCTGTGCAACATGGCCTCCAAGAGCTTCCCCAAAATGGAACCCAGTCCTTGGACTGGAAGGGTTCTGCAACCCTAGATGAGAGTGGGGGTGAGCAGACCCTCCCTCGGGGGCCTTTCAGCAGAGGCGGGGCACCCATCCATTAGCATTTCTCTAGCCCTGCATTCCCTGCATTCATCGCCACCTCGTAGATGTTTGTTTTGCTGTGGGCCAGATCCAGACCTGAAGACAGTGAGGATGAGCAGAGCCAGGACCAGTGCCAGCAGCGACAGGGAATAGCCCACTGTGTAGAATACCTTGAAGCTGACCATCAGCTGGTGGACCTCCTGTGTGGGAGAAGAAGCAAGACCCAGGAGATGGGGCCAGACAGACAGACAGACAGACCCCTCTTTTCCCGCTACCAGCGAAGTGGCAAAGGAATTGTGGGAGGAGATATAACTGTAATGCACAGGAGCTGGGGAGGAGGGAGCCTGGATGTAAATTCAAGTGAAAATAACACGGAGGAAGAACGTTAATAGTGTCCAGGTTAGCCTTACACAGAGACATTGAAATAGGTTTACAATATGTAAGACTAACCTTAGATACTCCTTTTAGAGTAATTTAGTCAAATTCTTTACAGTCATTCCAGTGATTTTTCTTTTAGCAGCCAGATCAGGAGCAGGAGGAGGCAGGTTTGCTTCTCAGGAAGCAACGGGATGGAAATCCGCCTCCCATTTCATTACAGGAGCAATAAACTGCATATAATTTCTGATATAAGGGTTTGCATACAAATTTCATTTCTTTGTAAATATTCTCAAATCTGAAGCAAGGTGGTTTGGCTGGACCAGGCTCCTTCAGCTAAAGCCATCTTCCAATACACCCTGTTCTCCTATCATAACATTATCTGACCAAGCATTCACGGAAAGTTTGGGTCAAAACCACAGGAAGACTCACAACCTTGAATCCACAGATGCTGAAGTACAGCCACCCCCCACCCGCAGACCGTTGCCAGTTCTGGCTGAGGATGAACTTCTCCATATTTGAGGTCAAGGACCGCAGTCCTCCTGGCCTGCAGCTTGCTCTTGCCCTGCTCCCTTGCCAGCAATTCCGCCCATCCGTAGCCATAAACAGGTGGCAGGTTCAAGGGTCTCCGCAGTCGTCCATTCTCACCTCTTCGGCGGTGGCTTCTGTCTCTTCCTTGCACTGGAAATGGTCCCTCCAGAGCTCCGTCCCATTCAGCAGCACCCAGTGCCCATCAAGCCCACACTTGCGGCTCACCTGGCCGTGCCTGACTGCAAGCACAAGAAGCCCAGCTTTACACACAGGAGCGTTTGCGATTCTCTCTGTAGACTGGCAGTTCAACACCCAGTAGCTGCTTCGTTTGAGAGAGAACTGTGAAAACCGTGTGACTTCCATGTGGGACTCCAGTGAGGCTTGCAAAGAAACACCAGGAGAGACTCCAAGATGTATTGGGTGTGTAATTTATTGATTATTTTACAGTATTTATGAATCACTTATGTTAAAGACATTTCCAAGTGATGTGGCAAGGTCAAGATGGCCGCTTTTTATTAATGACTTGGACAAAGAGGTGCAGGGAATGATGATCAAATCTGCAGTTGGCACAAAATTGAGTGGGATAACTAATACCCAGGAAAACGAAACAAAATTCAAAGTTCCCATCTTGAGTATTGTGTTCAGTTCTGGGTACCACTCTTCAGGAAGGATGCAGACAAGCTGGAAAGGGTTCAGAGGGCAATGACAAGTGTGATTGGGATCTGGAAGGAAAGCCCTATGAGAAGAGACTGAAAGGACTGGAGAAGAGAAGGCTTAAGGGGCAACACAACAGCACTTTCCAAATGCCTGAAAGCCTGTCACACAGAGGAGAGCCAGGATCTCTTCCCAGTCTTCCCAGAGTGCAGCATACAGAATAATGGACTCAAGTTACAGGAAGCCAGATTCCGGTTGGACATTAGGCAAGACTTCCTGTATGGCAACGGAGCCATTTACCTGGTGAAGTTGTGGGCTCCCTCACATTGGAGGCATTCAGGTGAGGCACTTGAACAGCCATCTGTCAGGGATGCTTTGAGTCCAGCACTGAGCCGGGGGTTGGACCTGATGACCTTGGAGGCCCAACTCCACTATTCTATGATTCTGTAGGAGCACCTGATAAAAAGGTGTTTTCACCAGGCAACAAAAAGGGTTGGCATCTGCCTAAAGTGCAGTGCTAAGGAGTCCCCGAGACTGGGCACTAGGACACAACAGCCCCTACTCTTGAGCCATAACGGAGAACTTGGTCACCACCAAGTCCGTGCTAGGTAATAGAGAGGGGAGGCATTTTCTGACACGGTTGGTAGCAGTAGGCACGGGCAAAGAGATGTTTGCAAAAATGTTAGTTCATTATACTGTTGGGAAAGTTACTTCTTGACCCCTAAGATTTATTAATAAATGAACAAGGAAGGAGGTCTTATGCTGAACATCCCTGGAAATGATTTAAACCATTTAGGAATGATCTACAAACTATGATTGGTAATCCATCTTTGTTGACATAAAGAGGAGGAAATTGTGGTATAATTTAACCTTTTGTTGATGGTGATTTTTTCTCTAAAATATCTTTTAAAATGCAATTAAAATATACTAATCAAAATCCATGCATGGGAAATTCACCCCCACACATACACACCAGTCAGCATGAGATAGCAAAGTCTTTTGTGTGCTTAGACAGGATATCCTGCAACTCCCACCCCCCTCCTCCTTTCTGTCTAAACATGCACAGAATTGCACCATTAATTGCTTAGGATAGGTGCAGACTAGTCAATAGACTATAGGTTGAATCAGAATTTCACTCTGCCATGTATCCAGAGAGTGGAGCTAAGCCATGAATCGTTCTACCTCTTATGGCTAACAGATCCATCCCCGGTAGATGTTTGCACCACATCGAGCAGACCAGCCTTCCAGACCGAGGCTGCTCTGTGCAGCAACACTTTGAACCAGCCCCCGAGTCAATGAAAGCAAAGAGCTGCCCACACTGGGTCCCCCCGGTGCACAGCAGCCGGGCAGGCTGGCATGCCACCTGCAGTCCCGGCACAAAGGGCAGCTGTTTTCCCGAGGCTCCCCACTGCCAGCTGGGCAGGTACTGCAGGGCAGGTACTGGAAAGGCAGCTGCGTGGCCTCCATGATCGGCAAGTTCAACATCTTTACCTTTTTCATACCAGGGCAGGTAGAAAGGGCAGGAGACATTGACAGTGGCACCGGGGCTCCCATCTGGCCAACACGCATACATGTCAAATGTTCGGTTGCAAAACAGTCCTGCGGGAGAGAGAAGCAAGACTAGACATCCAACAGCCGGGTGGGGGGCCACGGGGGCTGCAGCCCAGACCATCTGAAGGGCACCAGGTTGGGGGCAGGCCAAGCAACTCAGAGCAGTGCCCCAAAAGACAACACTGACCAAACCTCCTCCGTCTCTTGCTACACAGCTGAGCTGTGAACTGGGACATCCCAGATTCAAATCTCATGGCAGCCAAGAACTCGCACCATTTCGTTATTCTCAGTCCACAGTTTCTGGCCTCACCTTGCAGGGTCTTCCTCACACATCATGTGAAAACACTCCAAGTGAATCCCACCTACTTTGACGGCTACTTCATGTATTTCTTTTTCGGAGAAAAGCTTTGCTTTGCCTTGCTTTTTGCAAGCCTTGGGGTCCTCGAGCACCGTGCTGGACCATCCTCGGTCTCAAACCTGGCTCTGCTCCTCCTCTGAGCACTTGCCTCCTGTTGGGATCTTCCAAATGGCAGCTCTGCAGGGACTCCCACTCAGGTGCATCTTATCAAAGCTTGGTTCATTCCACACCATCAGCTTCGCGATGGGAGCTGAATGCCTAAGCTTCAGCCCAACAGGCAGCAAAAGGAAGTCTCTCTCACTGCCAACCACCACATCATGTTCATAGCACCTGTCATTGGCAGGCTTGTGCATAGGCAAGAGAGGGTTAGCAACCCCTCCATAGCTGAGATGCTGCCATAAATCATATAGGCGTATACACATATATAAATCTGCCATATAAAGGAAAATCAATCTATCGTGGGCAAGTCCGAAAGTCATCTCGGCTGGTTCCCTGTTTCCCACTGCTTTGGAAGCGAACAACAAGACCAAAAACAGTTTCTCACCAGAGGGATAAGGATCCCTTGCCATCTTCTGCAGGCACTCCTCCTTGTATCGCATCCACTGCTTGAGCGTCTTCTCGAGAACCTTTGCACTGCAGTCCTGCAAGAAGCAACGTGCGAGATACATTCCCACGTGCAGGATTTCACCAGCAATGCCTCCCAGTGCCACTATAGCCAATGTGCTTCTGCCGCTTAGGAATTGCACAATGAGGCCTAGAAACATGCAACTGTTCATTTAAAATGAAACAAAACAAGGAGTCTTGGGTAGTTGCATGATGCTCTCAACTCCACAGGGAGCTTTTTTTTCTGAACTAGGGAGGAATCATGGCACGGCAGTGCAGGGCAGGTACTGGAAATCTGCTCATGCGCAGCGCCAGCTCACCTGTGGGGTTCTCACAGTTTCCATTCTACTTATGCCCTCAGCATGATCCCTTTCTGGGGAAGAGGCACAGTCCAATCCTGCTACCTGAAACATTGTCTGCCAGGTAAGGCAGCCCAGTTCGGCTGGGAAAGGAAGTGCCCCACTAGCTCTGAGTCTCCCAGCTGGCACCCAGCAGAGCTACCAGTTTGGCAGGATGTTGGGAGCATTTCCCCTCATTCTCAAGGTCTCTAAAGAAGCAAAATTTCAGGCCATGGGACAGAATTAAAGGGCAGACCTGCTTCCTGCTCGGCTTTTACCGCTTTTGTTCACCCCTCCCTGTATGTGCAAGCCATCTCTCTAGCTTCTGAAAATTTACCATATATTGCCCACAAACATGCAAGTGTAGCTGAGCATCAATGAGGTCTAGAAACATGCTCTGTCCCATTAAGAAAGCAAGCCATGGTTTGCAGGATCCTGCTATTATGCATTCAAGAGCAATGCTGCCTCCCTGTTTCTCTCTGTCAGCTTGCCACCCTCTGCCCTCCCATCCAGGGACCATTCAGTTCCACATTTCCTGTGACTCCCAGTCTCCATGTGGCTCATGAGATCTGATCACACGGTCTGATCACTGCAGATCAGGATGACCTCTTGTGGGGCCAGGAGAAGTCCTCGTGAGATCAAACCCTGCACGGGTGCAAGCATTGAACTGGCTGGCCCAAGCCTTTTACCTCCATGAAGTTTGTGCTCATCAAGAGGAGGAGAATTTGCAACGCTCTGCACCAGAAAAGAGACGTTTCCCTCATGGTTAGCTCCCAGTCCGGGCAGATGTGGGTTGCGCGGCCAAATTGTGCTGCGGCGTGAGGGCCCACCGAGACCAAGAGAGGCCCCTGAATGGGAAAACAGTTCCAAGTTACATGTGGAAAACCTTTGTGAGTGATGCGCATGTCAGCCGGCTTGGATTAGAGTGCTGAGAGGGATTAATTCACACCAAGGAACCCACAACCCAACCACCCCTTCCCAGGACTTTCATTTTTTGAAACGGAAACATTCCTCATCCAGGTGAACATGGCAGGGAAGGGAGAAGAAATGAGGTGGCAATGAAAGAAAACTCAACATTAGCTTCACCCAGATCAGGAAACCCCAAGCAGCTGCTGCTGCAAGATGTCTCGGGTACAGCTGTAAAAGAGCCATAGAAACAGAGCAAGTCAGAAGGGGTCTCCTGGGCCATCTAGTCTGACCTCTGGCACCAGCCAGCTCTGCTCACGACATGCCCACCATGTGCATGCCCAGCCTATCCTTGAACACCCTCACCGATGGGGCCTCAACGACCTCTTGTGGAAACCCATTCCACACCCTCAGGGTCCTGACTGTCAGGAAGTGCTTCCTGGCATCCAAATGGAAGCTTGGCTTCCTGAGCTTTGCTCCGTTGGAGCGCATCCTGCCTTCCTCTGCAGGGGAGAACAGGCCTCTACCCACCTCCGTGTGACACCCCCTCACATACCTGCAAGTTGCCAACATATCCCCTCGGAGTCTCCTCTTCTCCAGGCTGAAGAGACCCAGTTCCCTCAGTCTCGCCTCATACCCCATCCCCTGCAAACCGGCCACCATCCTTGTGGGCCTATGCTGCACTGACTCCAACCTGGCTATATCCTTTCTGTAATGAGGGGCCCAGAACTGAGCACAATACTCCAGTTGCGGGCGCACCAGAGTCGCCGTTGAGCTTCTCAGCTCCGCTCCCTAAAACCAGGGAGGATCTTGGTGCCAACTTGGTGAAGGGAAGACCCATCAGCAGAGACGCAGCAGAGCGAATGCGGAAAGGATTGCCTTACTGGTGCATGTGTGGTGTCGGCTCGGAGCAGGAAAAGAGATGGCCAGATGGGCCATCATGACACTTGTCACATGACGAAGTGGCAGGTGCCGAGAAATGGGCAGGTTTCTCCAGGCGTGAAGAGGCCCAAGGGCTCTCAATGGCACTTTGGCATATTTGGCCTTGGAGAAGCGCCACTGAACACACCTCCTGGAGAGGTTCACCTGCTGTGCACACTGTGCTCTTTCTGCTACCTCCTGGTCTCCCCAGGCATTTTAATTTTAGTCTTTCCGTTTCCACAGTTTTAAATTTGTTACTGTATTTTAAATCTTCACATTGCTGCAAAATTTTTGATTTTTTAAAACTTTCATTTTATGCTATAGTTTTAAACTTTTATATTGCATCTTACCAGGTAGTATCTTAAGGTTTTAACTGTTGTGAACAGCCCAGGAAGCTTAGGGTATTAGGCAAAGGAGAAATGTGTTAAATAAAACAACTAAATGTAACAGAGAATCTGGGGCACCCTATTTCATTCAGCTCCTTCATGGATCACTGCCTTGTCGTGGCGAAGGGGCTTGCGTAGCTCAATGAAGCTATGAGCTATGCCATGCAGGGCCACCCACGACAGACAGGTCATAGCAGAGAGCACAGAGAAAACGTGATCCCCTGGGGAAGAAACTGGCAACCCATTCCAGTATCTTTGCCATGAAAACCCCATGGACAGTACCAAAAGGTAAAAAGATATGACGCCGGAAGATGAGCCCCTCAGGTTGGAAGGTGTTCAGTATGCTACTCGGGAAGAGCAGAGGGCTAGTACTAGTAGCACCGGAAAGAATGAAGCGACTGGGTCAGGCTGAAAGGACGCTCAGTTGTGGATGTATTTCGTTGTGAAAGGAAATTTCGATGCTGTAAAGAACAATACTGCATAGGAACCTGGAATGTAAGATCCATGAATCAAGGCAAGCTGGATGTGGTCAAACAAGAGATGACAAGACTGAACATCGACATCTTGGGAATCAGTGAACTAAAATGGACAGGAATGGGTGAATTTAATTCAGATGACCATCAGGTATACTACTGTGGGCAAGAATCTCTCAGAAGAAATGGAGTAGCCTTCATAGTCAATAAAAGAGTAGGAAAAGCAGTACCGGGATACAATCTCCAAAATGACAGAATGATCTCAGTTCGAATCCAAGGCAAACCATTCAACATCACGGTAGTCCAAGTCTATGCCCCAACCACTGGTGCTGAAGAGGCTGAAGTTGACCGGTTCTATGAAGGCCTACAACACCTTCTAGAATTAACACCAAAAAATGATGTCCTTATCATCATGGGAGATTGGAATGCTAAAGTAGGAAGCCAAAAGATAACTGTAATAACAGGCAAGTTTGGCCCTGGAGTTCAACATGAAGCAGGGCACAGGCTGGTAGAATTTTGTCAAGAGAATACGATGGTCATAGCAAACACTCTTTTCCAACAACCCAAGAGACGACTCTACACATGGACATCACCAGACAGTCAACACAGAAATCAGACTGACTATGTGCTCTGCACCCAAAGATGGAGAAGCTCTATACAGTCAGTAAAAACTAGACCAGGAGCTGACTGTGGCTCAGAGCATGAGCTTCTGGTTGCAAAATTTAGGCTGAAATTGAAGAAAGTAGGGAAAAGCACTAGGCCACTCAGGTATGACCTAAATCATATCCCTGATGAATATACAGTAGAGGTGACAAATAGATTTAAGGAATCAGATCTGATAGACAGAGTGCCTGAAGAACTATGGATGGAGGTTCGCAACATTGTACAAGAGGTAGCAACTAAAGCCATCCCAAAGAAAAAGAAATGCAAGAAAGCAAAATGGCTTTCTGAGGAAGCTTTACAAATAGCTGAGGAAAGAAGGGAAGCGAAAGGCAAGGGAGAAAAGGAAAGATACACCCAATTGAATGCAGAATTCCAGAGAATAGCTAGAGGAGATAAGAATGCCTTCTTAAATGAACAGTGCAAAGAAATAGAAGAAAACAATAGAATAGGGAGGACCAGAGATCTCTTCAAGAAAATTGGAGATATGAAGGGAATGTTTCATGCAAAGATGGGCATGATAAAGGACCAAAATGACAGGGACCTAACAGAGGCAGAAGAGATTAAGAAGAGATGGCAAGATTACACAGAGGAACTATACAAGAAAGAGCTTAACATCCCTGATAACCACAATAGGGTGGTCACTGACCTCGAGCCAGACATCCTGGAACATGAAGTCAAATGGGCCTTAGGAAGTCTGAGCAACAACAAAGCTAGTGGAGGTGACAGTATTCCAGCTGAGCTATTCAAAATCTTAAAAGACGATGCAGTAAAAGTGCTACACTCAATATGCCAGCAAATCTGGAAAACTCGACAGTGGCCACAGGACTGGAAAAGGTCAGTTTGCATTCCGATCCCAAAGAAGGGCAATGCCAAAGAATGTTCAAACTACCGCACCATTGCACTCATTTCACATGCTAGCAAAGTTATGCTAAAAATCCTACAAGCTAGGCTCCAGCAGTATGTGGATCAAGAACTACCAGAAGTACAGGCAGGATTTCGAAGAGGGAGAGGAACTAGAGATCAAATTGCCAACATACGCTGGATCATGGAGAAAGCTAGGGAGTTCCAGAAAAACATCTACTTCTGCTTCATTGACTACGCTAAAGCCTTTGATTGTGTGGATCACCACAAATTGTGGCAAGTTCTTAAAGAGATGGGAGTACCAGACCATCTTATTTGTTTCTTGAGAAACCTATATGTGGGTCAAGAAGCAGCAGTGAGAACTGGGCACGGAACCACTGATTGGTTCAAAATTGAAAAAGGAGTTCGGCAAGGCTGTATACTGTCGCTCTGCCTATTTAATTTATATGCAGAGCACATCATGAGAAAGGCAGGCCTAGATGAATCACCAGTTGGAATTAAGATTGCTGGGAGAAAT